TTTTTAGAATTGGTGTTGCAAGAGTGGAAATACATTGATGAATCAACGAAACATAGAGAATTATTTTTAAAATTGATTGAATATGGACGCAATTCCAGTGACGAGGTTAAAGTGGTGGGCAATGTACGAGTAATTTTCTCAAAAGAGTTTTGCATTGGCAAAGGAAATGATGCAACCCGTGTTTATCTTGGACTGGGTAAGGATGGTTACGGTAAAGCAGTGAAACGAATACATCGAGATAACTACATCCAGCTTGCGCTGCACGAAAAGAAAATTTTGGATGAATTCAACGCAAGAAAGTCGAAATATGTTGTCAATTATTCTTTCCTAGAGGAAGAGACTGGAAAAGAATATGTATATTTGATATTAGACTTATGTGAAGAATCATTGGAGAGTTTCGTAGAGTCTTCTACTTTACATGATCTTCAAAACGCTCTTCCCGAAATTCTCAGACAAATTTTGCATGGATTAGCTGATCTTCATAGCGGCCCAAATCCTATTCTTCATCGTGATTTAAAGCCCACCAATGTTCGTCGAGATTCACAAGGCAAATTTCTGATAGCTGATTTTGGCATTAGTCGAATGTTGAATAATGATTGTACGACATATGAAAGCAAGCCTAACATGGGAACTGAGTATTGGATTGCTCCTGAATCATATTGTGAAGATAAAGATACAGTCGATAAAGGACGGTACAAGAAAGAGTCTGATGTAATGGTAGGTGCAGGAATATAACCATTTGTACGACATGCATGTATAAAGTCAATTTGTAACATTACATTGTTAATCTTTTTAGAATGCCGGAATGGTAGCTTATTATATTGCAACAAAAGGAAAACACCCGTTTGGAACTAAACGGCATAGATTGGACAATATGTTAAATGGAAACCCTGTTGGCTTGGAGGAAATCAAGGATGAAACACTAAAAGACCTTCTGTCGTGGATGTTAAATCGACAACCAGAAGACAGACCATCGGCTACCGTGGCGTTAAAACATCCATTTCTTATGTCAGATGAAGAGAAATTTGACTTATTATGTAAAGTTGGAAATCTTCAGCAGATTAAGACAAATGATCCTCTGTGTAGTGTCGTTCAACAATTGAATAGTGAATCCTCAGATTGGAAAAGTAAAATAGACAGTGATGTTTATGATTATTTTAGAACGGATGTGGTGACTGGAAAGATTTTTATATATGACTCTTCATGGACAGAATGTTTAAGACTTATTCGAAATATTAACCAACATTGGAACGATCGACCACGGCTAAAACCTCAACCAGAACCATTTTATAAGATTGGCGATCACAAGGCGTATATTCTCAAAAAATTCCCCAATCTCCCTGTTCGAGTGCATGCTACTGTGAGGTCCGATGAAGAATTGAAAAACAATCCAGATCTCAAGAACTTTTTCAATTTCAGTGAAAGGAAACCACATCAAGAATAAACAGTTTTTAAACAGTAAAAACAGTTTGTGAAAAGGCAAGTGAACATGAAATATACCGTGTAAAATAAAATTTACTCAGATTGGAAAAGACAAATGAATTTTTACGTATATGATTATTTTGATTGTTGGCTTTCATTGACAGATCGATTGATTGCGACCAGCACAAAAACCATCCATTTTATAAAGTCGATGATCCTAAAGACTTTTTGAAATCCCAGTTCGGGTACGTGCGGCTGTCTGGTCAAATGGCGAATTAAAAAGCATTCCAGAACTTAAAAACTTTTTCAGTTTTTAATGAAAGTGAACCACAATGAAAAGTTTACTGTCAGGAAAACAAGTAAGAAATCAACGATACGGTAGTTAAAGGATTTATTTCATAGATGTAATGTAGCAAAACACTTTTCACGACGTATTTGGATGATGCATAGTCACATTTCTGCATGTAGCTTACATTATTGAATGATATAATATCTGATTATTTAAATTATATTCTCAATTGCTTTTGTTGAAGACGTATGACATTTAAAGTCAACTTTATAAAATACATAATAAAACTCTTATGCGATAGTAAATTGTATTTCTGGAATTACAATATTACCAAGGTCCCGTTTATTAAAGTATCAAAGTGCAGTGATAATGGCCAATGCCAAAAGCACAATTAAATAGACTTAAGCTCTGAATTTAATAAACATTAATTATCTGAAGAGACTGAACAAAGGCAATTAAAAAAACAAATGAAGTCTTTACTTACAGCAAACGAAGAGTGAATCCGATATAACACGCAGCTTGAAAGTCTGGTCTTGAATATTATGGGCTCTTGTGAGTTGCTTATGCATAAAACCTAAAGCATACGTAGCTTCTTAAAGCAGTATATTCACAAAGAGGTTAACGAAGATAAATCGAGTAGAACCGACACAAATGCATGTCAATAACAGGCTAATAACCGCTGATGCAACTTCACGTTTACTAATTAAGACACAAATTTTACTAATGGGCACCGAACACAAATAATTTTTCGAGTTAAACTGAAAACTTTTAAAACCTCTTAATGAAGGCTATTTTTTAAATGCAGGGAAAAAACTACTATGAAAATGTGTATTTAATTTTATACCTGCACTGAAAAAATAGCCCTATAGTGGAATATAGTGCGCACCAGGATTTGTTGTGGCTTTTGCCCTTTCTGTAAAAAGACATGGCCTGTTAGCAGGCTAAACTACGTACAAAGCATAATGTAAACTCACGGTTTTCGAGAAATTCGTTGCCAAGTTTAAGGAAAGGACGATGAATCTTTCTTTCCTTTATTACCATGAAGTTAACGGATGCTGAGCACGTGAAATCATTCAGAATCCAAAAACAATTTTTGTCGTTGATGGTACATCCATCGTATCCAACTTTCTTGCTACCTGACAAACATCCCCGGTTTCGTGTGGACGACGGCAAGCACAGAAGCCAGATTGGCCATTTCTTACAGCTGTGCATGTCGTCTACGGCATGAAAGCGGAAACATCGACAGATGGTCAGAAAATTAGGACTTTTGGTTTTGTTTTGCATGCTGAAAACTTCCATGTTTTTATTAGGAAAATTTTCTAATTAATTAATGTAGAAATTTGGCTGGTCGATTATGACGTGGTTTTAATCATCTGCAAAGCAAGAAAAACTATTGATAGTGACTTTGAGGATTTGCGGGTTTTTTGCTGTTGTAAATAGTTTAAGATAATTATTCTTACCATGATATTATTGATATATCGTCGTATATAGTTCGCATGTCTTTATGATTGGCGGATTAACCAGTTGGAATCGTATCTTAGTTAGATATAATACCCAGGATAGTAACGTTTTGAACTGCCATAGTCCAATAGTCTAGTAACTTCGGTCATATTCCAATAGGACAGGGACTTGTTTATGGACATAAAAGTTGAGCTGATGGAAGCATTACTTGAGAGCAACATGTTCTAATTGCGATCGTAGTATGTGATGTAGACGGATTGATGGACAAAAGAAGTCTCGTGTTTTCTAAAGTCATTAAAGTATATACTGTCCCATCCTTGATCATTGTTCTGAGGACTTGATTGCCCATTCTTGTTAATTGTTCGGAGGAATTTATTCAAGAATATTGTCCATTCCTCATCATTTTTCCGAGGACTTTATTCAAGTATATTATTTATTCTTGATAAGAATTTCTATACAATAAGATAATAAAAGATAATGTCAGCTTACAATATACTGCCGGCAAAATTAATGACAAAAATAACGTAAAAAATACTTACTTTGAGAAATGGAGAATACCAATGAAGTATTGTATTCCATTCTTTTTACTCCAATGCTAGCATATAAGTCATTGCAATACTAATGTACGATCTTGTGCGTATACAAATTATGGTTTTTGCAGTCTTTTAGAGAAATTTTATCTCATTTTCTTTTGTCTTTAATGCATTCGGCGCATATAAAGTTCAACATTTGAAAATGTCAATGAAAAAATCACTAATAAGTTGATTATGTATTAACGTTCATTCTGTAAAAATAAGCATGAACAGCAAAACTTTTTTCCGTTTACTAAGACTAATTAAGGATTGGAAATTTAATCTTTTTTTCTCTTTCTGTATATTTATGTCTAATTTCACATCGTTCGTTCACTTTGGTGACTGTATTTTTTAATCTTTTGTCAACGCTTGTTTTTATTTGACACCTGCTGAGCTGAGCGTTTCAATTTAAACTAAAGCTGTTTTTTGTAGGATTTCCTGTTTCTCACGCATGAGTTTGGGGAAGTAAGATTAAAGATGGGGTGCATGCAGGTGGGGATAAAACATTCGTATTCGGCAAGATCGAATGCCTAAAGTATGTTTATAATACTGCACTGAATTTTCACTTGTAACATAGCATAAATATACTGTCCAATTTATCATAAAGCTAGTTCCTGTAATTAGTATAGTGTAGAACACAAGTTTTTAGCCTGTGTTTTTACCATTTTAGCCTGCTACAGCTACCACAACCCTCGAAAAATACTCCCATTTACAAACACCTACAAAATACTAACTGAAAATTCCAACAGTCACTTTGTGTTTGACAATCTTAGACGATGAAAATACCCTTAGCACAAGTTAGCTATCTACACAATAAACGCAAACACAACTAGACCTGAACAAATTGTAAATAATTTACTCCTTTTACGGTTATAATGCATGCAGGGAGGTATAAAGTTTACAATTGGAAACAATATGCAACAAAGGGTTACATCAAAGCAAATTTATGGGTAAAACTCTCATTATTTTATTATGATACATCTAAAGACTTGGGCTTAGAGAGATTGATAATCAAAAGGTGCGTATGATTTTCACATATTCATGTCATATAATTCGTTAAAAACAATGAATTTCAAAAGAATTCAAGACAACAAATCATGCATATATGAATATGAACCGCCCAATATACAATTTTCCCTACTTTTGCTTTACATATGATTTCTAGGAACAATCAAAAATTACAATTTCTAAGAATGGTAAAAAATTAGAATTTCGAAGAGCAATCAAAAATTACTATTTAATGCTTACATTATACACAAAAGCATACTGGTATAAGATAAATGTCCAAAGAAAACTATTTTCTTAAAAATCATTATGTGAGAGCCATTGCTGTCTCCATCATTTGACTAATGATGATTTATACGTTGTATTTACAGTTACACTTAATCTCAGGTAAGGTCAATTATCATTTACCATAATTTCGTAAAAGCACTATTGCCAATACACATTTAATATAAACGACAACTTTTTTGAAAATAGACATGTTTCGACATCTCATGATGCCATCTTCAGTATGAGTGAAATAATAGGTGATACAAGGTTTATATAAAAGTAATATGATACATAAATTACAACAATAAAAGGAAATAAGATAATTTAATGAGGAGCGTCCGAGCGTATTATAAACTAAATATTGTATTGAATTTAAAAACTTGAACATTGAGGTCAGGGTAAGTTTTGTTAGTTTTCCTTTGACTGGAAAACGCTACACTAACACATTAATGTCAAGTATTCTTTCTCATAGTAACTCCTCCAATCACCCTGCTTCGCCAGACAATTTTAAAATCATCTCATCCTGCTCCGACACATTTGACCTCATGATACACAAAAGCCTCCTCATCTCCAAACTAAAACCTTTACTTAACACCCAAGGCAGCTCCATCCCTCTTAAGCTTTTCTAGTCTCAACTCCTCACCCTAACAATAAATCACACTTACATCACACTTACATGACAACACACCTACACATTCACAGTAATATGATACCTCAAACTATGTAAATAGCTCTATATATATCTATATTCTTGTTAACTTCCTAATTAGTCTGAAGATGTCTTGAGTAAAGACGAGACGTCACTCTTTTAATAAATTTCATAAAACCAAATTGCTTATGAATTTGTTTAAAATTATTCGTTGGGCTCTAATATTTATATTGAGAATCCGTTTCCCGCCTGGCACTTCATTGGAAACAAGTTTGGAAGATACACCATACTCCCATAAAACTGCCTGTGTACCACCTCACACATCCCTCGTGACATTCTTATCTTTCAGATTGTTCATATGCCTGTTTTATGATATTGATATGCTTGATCTTAATATCACTAAAAAAGTTTTTAATGAAGAAGTAAGCTAACACCTGCTTTAATCTGACACAATAGAAATTATCTCACTGTACTTCAATATGAAATTCTATGTGTGCAAACTGCAGTAAAGAGTTAACATAGAGAATATATATAGTGTCCCTTTAGGATGACCTTGTATTCTTTACATGCATGTAATAACTTATTTAGTAAAAATAAAATTGAAAAAAGTAATCAATCATTGCATTAAACAAAATTCAATTTTATTTTCAAAATGTAACAACAGAACAAAATACATATGGCATTCCTGAGAAGCTGAAAGGTCTATATGCATTCTACGTGGATTGTACGCATAGATACACTAATATTTATCATAAATATATAAAAAAAAATCAAAATTCCATGAAAAATACTTTGACATACGCGACTGGAATGCAATCTGGTAGAGTAAGTGCGATTGAAATCTTTCCTCTTAATTGCACAGAGCCACTTCGCTACTGTGTTTGCCACCAGGCCGTACGTTTTATATCCTTCGTTGCTTCCATTAAACGCACAACATAAAACCGAACATTTTGTAATTTAACTCTTTGTAAACTATAGTTTTCTATTGCGCTCTCGGAACAAAAATGGCGGCGAGAGACCCACGTGACCGTATTTACCCAATCATCATGCAGAATGCAGAGAACAAACGTGTCCCTACCAACCACAGAACTCATAATTCACCAACTCTGCGGTCCCAACTCTTACATATTGAGGGCTCTGGATAGAATTAGCGTTGTGTTGATCTTCTCGTCGTCAATTTGAATGTGCAAGTTCTGTGATTTAGTCATAAAACATGAATTTTGACAACATTTACTAGGGTAAGTTTACTTAAATGGTTTTTATAATGAAAAGAGCAAGGGAAAAGGTCAGAACTATTCTTGAAACATTTTATAACAACAGCGCAGTGTAGTGTTTACAACAAATTGTTTGCAATGTAAGTCGAATTTTAATCATATTTATTTGATTGTATTATAATTAATCTGGATGTATTATTACGGACTAGAAAGTATAAATGCAATAAATGTTTGGCGTCGGCGACTCGCCTAAAATTCAAAGAATGCCGGAAGTGTTAGCGTATTCCCAAATATTAAATATATTACCACGTACTTTGGTTATACCTCGTAATTGTACGACAAATTGCACGACTAGATAGCTTAAAGCCTTAATATTCTCCAACATAATTTTTATCGCTTGCTGTGGACGCTTATGTAAATAAGTACAATCGCAATTTGCGCGACCATATCGATCTAGTTCTGTGATGATTCATTGATCGAAATTTTACATGTTAAGTGCTTTAAGTTGTTTGACAAAACAAAGTGAATCATAATAAACTACTCGCGGGTCCCATTTAATCTGTTTACAAGCCAAATTGGGACATTTCTCTTATTTAAATGACCTCAATGCGAGCATACTTATATAGTTAATTTCCAACTCAATTTTTGTTTACTTTTTTAAAATCAAAGTCATGGGCGGATCAAGGGGTAGGCAACTAAGGCACTTGCCAATAGTGAAATTCCTAAGTTGATCTCAGTTAGCTTTTATACTATAAAGATGCCAAGACAAAAAACTTGTAAGTTAATTGTTATTTGGTTTACAGACCAGTCAGTTATTAATTTAGTAATAGCTCTGCTGTTGATAGACCGAGAGAAGCCAACTTTTGCTTAACTTCACTAGATGATCCAGCTATTTGACAGGTATATATTCATTTCGCCTGACCTAGACAAATTTTGCACAATTGGCATCATCTGGAGGCTTACTTATTCAATGTGTTTTATAAATTGTGTGTGTTCATTGGCCTACTTTTTGCCTAACTTAAGCGATAAGTCAAATGAATGAATCATGATAGTCACTAAGAATTGTTGTGTTTAGCATTTTAGGCAAGTTAGTAAATTGTATATAAAATTTATGTGACTGCTCAATCTGCATTTGCAAGATATCATTTAGTATGTTTAAACAATCTCTATGACAGCTGTTGTGTATTATTTATACCACCTATGCTGAAGTTTTACCAGTACAGTAATAAGTAAATGTGGAAAACCACACTCTTTACGACAATAATAAGACTCCCACTGTGTAAATATGAATTAAATTATATTTATGAATATATATGCTATTATTTGTAGATTAAGTTATGAATGTTTGTCTACCGATGGTCATATATTTGGCGATGCAATTGCAGGCTAGATCATAATTTGATCAATTGATGATAAACATGTTCAAGTCACGAGGTTCACATTCTACTGAAAGCAGTTAAGCAATAAATCTGTAGTATTTAATTTCTTGATTATTACCATTCTGACTGACTTGTGTACTCTCCTTAAAACTAAATGTGTATTCCTGTATGTAGTTTAGGCAACCATACTTGCAGCGACTTTGTTTGTGCAATACCCTTTTTTGATTTTGTCCATATGTTTAATGTTCAAATGAATTTAATATGTAAAAAGGGGATGCTAAAGGTATATAGATATTTGTAGATATAAATTATGTTGTATGATTATAATAGTATTATTATATTTAGCCATTTGATCAACATGTCATTTTGTTTCCACTGAATACTGCCAACTTCAACTGTGTTAGTAACTGATCTTAATTTTTCATATGCAACTCCTCAAATCTACGATGGTTTGTTTGTATTCTTTCTGTAACCTAAAACCATAATAACATCGCCTATCTTGAACTGCCAAGTCTTTTTCTCTTTGGGTATCAATCTTTCCATCACCCATTCTGCCATAGAAGGTCTTCACACGTTCAATCTTGTTCTCGCTCTTCTTCCGAGACATAGCTCACTTGGTGTAACCTTTGACTAACTTTGCGATGTTTTACGGTATTGTAATTAAAAGCAAAGCCAGTTTCCAAGATTCACACTTCATAGTTTCGTTATATACTTAAAAGTACAAACAGCAGGTTCCACTTCATGATCTTAGCTTAAAGTATCTACAATATATGAATGAACTAAGTGCGAAAAGGGAGTATTAAAAAGGGTATGGAAAAGGTATCGAGAAGGATATATTAAAAAAGGGTATTTAAAGGGAGCACCAAAAGGCGGTTTAAAAGGCTGAAAATAGGTTGTCCAACAGGAAAAAGGGCATTTTTTTTCTTTAAATACATTTCTTCGGAAAAAGGAATGTAAACAATTTATAATGCCGTAAATCCATTGAACTAAAATAGGTCAATATTTAGGCATTGATTTCAAAAATTGATGTTATATGGGCAAGTTTTGGGGCCTTCAGCCTCGTTTTCACGCAAATCGTGATTTTAGCATTATAGCTATTTCTAATAAACTTACACTTTAACGTTGTAAGAGGTTTAAATTTATCAAGAAAAAAACAATTTAGTAAAGAAGGCGTTTAAGAAAAATAAAAAAGTTTTACTTTTCCCGATTCGCCTAAATTTTTAATGATTTTCGTAAACGTCATTTCCCAGCGAACGTCTGCAAAGAAAATTTCGGAAATGAATTTTACTGTTGTTCAACTAAATAACTAGTTCAATTTGTCAACTATAAGCTGATAGCTAATTGTGCACGTATTTTTAAAGATTTATGTAGTTTTTGGACCATAAATGAATTTAACAAACTGCGCTTGCTTGGCAGTCATCTTCTTCAAAGTTATTGTATGCGCCATAATCATGCATAGGCTTCTGACCCATTTATCTCTTCTACATTGACTAGAAGTTTATGTATAAATCATTGGGATGTAAAACAGCGAGCACAAAACACATTTTTAAATCTCAAAAATGTTTGATATTAATAATATTATGTATGAGTTATTATTTGAACTACGGTTGTGAAACTACTTCATTTTGTGTCCATTTACTTGACAGGCCACACACATTTAAGCACTGCGTGCCTATTTTTTGTGTATTGAAACCATGGTTAAAAATCATTTGCTGATTACATTATGATGAATATTTAGATGTTGATTATATTATGTAAAATATTTTATGCATTTATAGTAAAATCAAATGACGCCATCTTTGACACTTAACAATGACATTGTATTTCCGAACTGGACTTACACCAATGGCACCTACTATATCTTTCGCTATAAAATAAAAATAATTTAGACAATTGAAATATTTTCTCAAAACTTTAACTTTAATACGTTCAAATCATACGTAAAAAGTCTTATACACAGCTCACAATAAGCAGAACTTTCGATTAACTTCAGGTGAGCTTGCCTCTAATCGTATCAGATATGTTTGTATAAATGAGTAAAATTATACTTTTTTAATTTTACTCATTTATTGTTTCTCTCCTTTTTGTGTAAAATGCACATTTACTATCAAAAGTCATTGTACATTGGGGAAATCGGAGCAACTCTTATGCATTTGATTGTTTTAGCTTAACTCATCTTTAAATGTACTGACTTTATGTCTTTCAAAGAATTGTATTTGAACCTGGGGATAAACAGTGACAAAAAGGAATTTAGAGACGGTGAAAAACCTGATTTCGAAAGTCAATAAGAGTGGTGCATGCTCATTTTTATATAACAAATCATTGAATGTGATTCACGTAAAACATATTTTTACTATTAAGCATAAGTCGTAAAAATTTTCACAAGGTCTTTGACACTTCACAAGCGATGTTTTAATATTTATTGTTGCTTTATTTACCATTTTTCGATTTGATAGATCTTGCAATGGGAACGTTGTATTCATATTTTTCTGGGGGAACAAGTGAAGCCAGCAACGAGCGTCGCACATCTAATATTGATGGCAAGTAAAACTCACGCTTTGTTACTCATAAATCATAAGTATTTGAATGTAAACATCGGATAAACTATTCAACATAAGCAAAGCGACGAGTGTTTAAGTGCTATGACACAACATACAGATGCATAGGTGAAAATAAAGTAGAGTATGTTAGTAGAGGGCAGAGGGAAGTGTCAGTGAGTGATGTGTACAGAGGAAAACAAAGGAGATCCACTAAAAGAGGACAAGTGGAACATTTATGCTTGGATTTTTTGTTGCCTATTTTCTCTAGATGATTTATGGCAAAGCAACAAAAAGAGATACATGTAATCATTTACTGTTGAAATTTTACGCATGTGGGCGAGGAAATCATACATTGTGCATTTTTATAAGAAATAGACATGGCAATATGACGAATGGCTTTTAAACATTCGGACTATAAAAAAATGCATGATTTGAGAAATAAAGTGTTTGTTGCTTGTTATAGAAGCAATGTTTCCAAAATAGAAAAAATTTCGTTTCATATTATATACATTTTACATATAGTTTCAAATTTGAAAATGACGGGGAGCAATGAGCATACAACAGAACAGAGGACAGACAATAATATCAATAATGAAATATCGAATTTTAAACTTTTTTTGTACTAACTGTATGCAATGGCATAGGTATGAAACTTTTACAATAGTTTCTGAGTAGCAGCAAGTTTAAAAATCATTTAAGAAAACGATGATTTTTTATAAGCAAACATGTTTCTACATGAAAAAAAATGCCATCTTCAGTACGAAATGATTAGTGTTACGAAATATGATGCAGTATAGGAAAGTACGTAGAATAAATTGTTTACATTGACTGGGAATGTGATATAATTTTAAATGGTTTTAAATGGTTTTAAATTTTAAATGGTTTTATCTTGAAAGGCGGTAGCTTCCATTGCATCTAGCAATTTGTTTTAATCCTCTAGTTTTGAATCTACCTCTTTACGAGCAACTTTATTCTTAATTCAGAAGACTGACACTTAACAATTACTTGGTCTCGACTCTGCTCCGAAAATTGATCTACAAAACTAAAATTTTCACTGTGTCATCTTAGTTAAATGAAGATATGATCTTCGCACTTTGCTAGACAATTTAAGCAATTGTCTCATAATCCTAAAACAATTCAACGGGATTCGAGCCCATGACCACTGCGATGCCGGTACAGTGCTCTAACCAACTGATCTATGAAGTCACACAGTGGAGAGCAGGTCAATTTGTTGGGCTGATGTTTTCCCGTGAAAGGAATGTCATATCAAAGAATGTTATATCAGTGCGGTGTTTGAAATTAATTTGAAATTAATTTGAATTTGAGTCACCTGAATTTTTTTAGAAAATTGCTTAAATTGTCCAGTAAAGTACGAAAATCATATCTTCATTTAATTTCAATCACCGCACTGCATATAACATTCTTTCATGTGTCATCTTAGCTTACTGACAAATTGATCCATGTGTAGTACTTATTACATACAGACAATTCTAAAAATCCTATCTGTTATTTTATGATTACAGATAAACTGCACTGCAATCGACTAATTACAATCGAGGAATATCTGAAACTGTATTTTTACAATCTATATTACACAGTCCACCACTTTCGCCACTTGTATTTTCGTATGTCACGTGGTACAAACTGTAAACATTGCATACATTGTCACAGTTCTATCATATATTCTTATATAGTGTTGACTGTTTTTGCTTAAAAAATTTCGAGTATTCTTTTGGCAATTTTATGATACGAATATCTTTTTTCATTTTGCAATAAATGGCAGTGGTTCTCTTAGCTATATAGTTGCCAGCTTCTATAGTCAATCATAATCGACTTTAGAAAATGTGAATACTGAATAGTGTTGACGGAAAAGATCGTTGAAACGTTATGTGCTTTGTGTATTTCTAACAACGATTCTCGCCCTACAAAGTTGATGAAAAATAATGAAACTGGTAACATAGTATATTTTTTAAAGATTCCTGCGCAATAAAAGTGAAATTTTGCACCATATTCAACTTTATGTCTGATTGAATGTTTAAATTAGCTACGCCGTCACATAGCTTACCCAATTCTTGTAGGTGACCACAAGATCATTAGCTAGCTTGCATTGACATTTGTGTAGACGAGAAACAAAATCTCGAACTTTGTAGAGTTTTGTATATTAGTAAAACATTAATCTGTAGAAGTTTTTAACATATGATATTAATGTTTTGTAACATATGATATAACACATGACGAAATAACGTTTAAAATGATTGAAACTTTTACTTCTTTACTTCTACTGATTTTATTAATTGAAGGTGTTGCTTCTAGGTGTTAAGTTCACATTTGCAATTCAAATTTTTGCTGTTGGAAGATTAACTATGCATCTTATTACTTACAACTCTACGTTTAAGTTTTTGTGGTGATAATGTGTAAAAGGTTTGTGTTTATATATGTTGTTTGTTGATCCGTTTCAGTTGATCTTCGTTACACTAAACTTTCATCAGAGGAAATTGAAAAAATTAGTCAGAAAGTTGCAACTGATTGGTATGAACTGGCTTATCTTCTTGAAATACCTTTTAAACAACGTCATGAAATTTTTGTTAACCACGAAAGTTTTCCAAATCCCTCCGCAAAGGCTAAAAGGATTTTGAAGATCTTTAATGAACGAACAGATTTCGATCGACATTTATTAAAGAAATACCTTGGAGAAATATATCTTGATTTGGATGAAATTTTGGCTCCCACAAAACAGGTATTTATTTAATATTTGGGAACATATATCTTGTTTTTTTTTGCCAAAAATTTCTCCACACTTGCATTTATCGTCATAAAACGTATAATGCAGTAGCTAGATTGTAGCTAAAATAAGTTATGAAAGAAAAAATCGATCGGAATGTTCTTTGACGCAACTTCCGCTTTCACTGTAGTTTTATAGTTGACGTACTTTTAACGGTTGATTCATAGATTGTTCGATAGTTCGACATCTTGCCAAACTAAGCCGTCATGCGATTGTAAAATAGTGATTTTACTTCAACTTAGCATTGTTTCTGTTTAAAGAGAAATTTTCAGGCAAAGAACTACAAATTATCGTACGATAATTGTCATTTCTGTGTTTGCCTTAATGCGAGTATTGTGGTATAGTATTTCACATACTCAACCGATCTATGTAGCAAAACATTCCAACTTGCAAGTGTTCTATAAATATACGTTTTGAACTTGTTTTATTGGTGAAATGTGAGAATGGTTTTTGTCAATTTGATATAAGAAACAAAGAAACAGATTAATGCATTCCGAAACTAAATCACCGATGCCACCAATTCGATAATATATAAAATCAATATATGAACTCAGTTTTGTAGTGTTATATAGCTAGGCTAAAAGTCGCGTACATGGTATATAGTTTTAAAAATCCAGCGGAATTTTCAGACCTTTACCATTACAATTTGTCTGAATTTTTGTACCAAAACTTTTGAATTTGCGAAAAGCTATTGGAAATAAGTACTAAGTATACTCCTTACGTATAACGTCTTGTGTTATCACAGCAAAAATGAAAGAAACTTCCTAACGGTGAAAGAAAAATTAAATTTTTAAAACCAAAAAAAGAAGTACCATGAGTAAGTCTAATTTGAAAATGCACAATTTTAACTAGCACCAGCACTTAAATTGTATTGACGTGAAAAGCACTGATAAAAAGATGTACGACAGCCGTAGTTTATTTCTTTATTTTGAGATGGTTTAATGGCAAGACGTAAAAAAAGATGCATGTTTATAAATGTAACAACACACGAAGTTTATGATTTTAAATACTTGTACTTGTTATGATAATATTAATTTGTTTTATCGATAGTAGAACGTACATTTCAATATTGTTTTAGTTTGATCGTGAAAGCCCACCTTTTTCAAAATTAAAGTCATCTGAATATTCATATAAAGGTAAGAAATCAACAAATATCATTGCATGTCAATAACAGTATGATCCTTTCTAAGTCTTTCTTTATTTGTATCAATGTTAGTTTCATTACAATAATTGCATGATTTACAGTTTTGATTCAAATAAAATCACAGTAATATTGCGTGGCAACATAAATGTTTGTACTTATCCTGCATGCGGTGCAATGTCTGAAACTCAGAATGCAAAATGGGTTTTGTGGGTAGCTGCTGCGCATTTGTGGCTAACCACTATGTTACTGTAATATTCTTTGTGTGGGTTTCATGCACTGATCTCAAATTAAGACTGGATCAAGCATCTAGCAGAAAAGTTTTTTATAGAAGCAATGTTTCCACACTAGAAAGACATTTCGTTTGATATTACATACATTTTACACATAGTTTTCAAATTTGAAAATGACGTGGAGCAATGAGCATACAACAGAACAGAGGACAGACAATAATGTCAATAATGAAATATCGAATTTTAAACTTTTTTTGTACTAACTGTATGCAATGGCATAGGTATGAAACTTTTACAATAGTTTCTGAGTAGCAGCAAGTTTAAAAATCATTTAAGAAAACGATGATTTTTTATAAGCAAACATGTTTCTACATGAAAAAAATGCCATCTTCAGTACGAAATGATTAGTGTTACGAAATATGATGCAGTATAGGAAAGTACGTAGAATAAATTGTTTACATTGACTGGGAATGTGATATAATTTTAAATGGTTTTAAATGGTTTTAAATTTTAAATGGTTTTATCTTGAAAGGCGGTAGCTTCCATTGCATCTAGCAATTTGTTTTAATCCTCTAGTTTTGAATCTACCTCTTTACGAGCAACTTTATTCTTAATTCAGAAGACTGACACTTAACAATTACTTGGTCTCGACTCTGCTCCGAAAATTGATCTACAAAACTAAAATTTTCACTGTGTCATCTTAGTTAAATGAAGATATGATCTTCGCACTTTGCTAGACAATTTAAGCAATTGTCTCATAATCCTAAAACAATTCAACGGGATTCGAGCCCATGACCACTGCGATGCCGGTACAGTGCTCTAACCAACTGATCTATGAAGTCACACAGTGGAGAGCAGGTCAATTTGTTGGGCTGATGTTTTCCCGTGAAAGGAATGTCATATCAAAGAATGTTATATCAGTGCGGTGTTTGAAATTAATTTGAAATTAATTTGTATTTGAGTCACCTGAATTTTTTTAGAAAATTGCTTAAATTGTCCAGCAAAGTACGAAAATCATATCTTCATTTAATTTCAATCACCGCACTGCATATAACATTCTTTCATGTGTCATCTTAGCTTACTGACAAATTGATCCATGTGTAGTACTTATTACATACAGACAATTCTAAAAATCCTATCTGTTATTTTATGATTACAGATAAACTGCACTGCAATCGACTAATTACAATCGAGGAATATCTGAAACTGTATTTTTACAATCTATATTACACAGTCCACCACTTTCGCCACTTATATTTTCGTATGTCACGTGGTACAAACTGTAAACATTGCATACATTGTCACAGTTCTATCATATATTCTTATATAGTGTTGACTGTTTTGCTTAAAAATTTCGAGTATTCTTTTGGCAATTTTATGATACGAATATCTTTTTTCATTTTGTAATAAATGGCAGTGGTTCTCTTAGCTATATAGTTGCTAGCTTCTATAGTCAATCATAATCGACTTTAGAAAATGTGAATACTGAATAGTGTTGACGGAAAAGATCGTTGAAACGTTATGTGCTTTGTGTATTTCTAACAACGATTCTCGCCCTACAAAGTTGATGAAAAATAATGAAACTGGTAACATAGTATATTTTTTAAAGATTCCTGCGCAATAAAAGTGAAATTTTGCACCATATTCAACTTTATGTCTGATTGAATGTTTAAATTAGCTACGCCGTCACATAGCTTACCCAATTCTTGTAGGTGACCACAAGATCATTAGCTAGCTTGCATTGACATTTGTGTAGACGAGAAACAAAATTTCTCGAACTTTTGTAGAGTTTTGTATATTAGTAAAACATTAATCTGTAGAAGTTTTTAACATATGATATTAATGTTTTGTAACATATGATATAACACATGACGAAATAACGTTTAAAATGATTGAAACTTTTACTTCTTTACTTCTACTGATTTTATTAATTGAAGGTGTTGCTTCTAGGTGTTAAGTTCACATTTGCAATTCAAATTTTTGCTGTTGGAAGATTAACTATGCATCTTATTACTTACAACTCTACGTTTAAATTTTTGTGGTGATAATGTGTAAAAGGTTTGTGTTTATATATGTTGTTTGTTGATCCGTTTCAGTTGATCTTCGTTACACTAAACTTTCATCAGAGGAAATTGAAAAAATTAGTCAGAAAGTTGCAACTGATTGGAATACACTGGGTGCTCTTCTAGAAATACCTTTTGAACAACGTCATGAAATTTTTGTTAACCACAAAAGTTTTCGAAATCCCTCCGCAAAGGCTAAAAGGATTTTGAAGATCTTTAATGAACGAACAGATTTCGATCGACATTTATTAAAGAAATACCTTGGAGAAATATATCTTGATTTGGATGAAATTTTGGCTCCCACAAAACTGGTATTTATTTCATATTTGGGAACATATATCTTGTTTTTTTTGCCAAAAATTTCTCCACACTTGCATTTATCGTCATAAAACGTATAATGCAGTAGCTAGATTGTAGCTAAAATAAGTTATGAAAGAAAAAATCGATCGGAATGTTCTGTGACGCAACTTCCGCTTTCACTGTAGTTTTATAGTTGACGTACTTTTAACGGTTGATTCATAGATTGTTCGATATTTCGACATCTTGCCAAACTAAGCCGTCATGCGATTGTAAAATAGTGATTTTACTTCAACTTAGCATTGTTTCTGTTTAAAGAGAAATTTTCAGGCAAAGAACTACAAATTATCGTACGATAATTGTCATTTCTGTGTTTGCCTTAATGCGAGTATTGTGGTATAGTATTTCACATACTCAACCGATCTATGTAGCAAAACATTCCAACTTGCAAGTGTTCTATAAATATACGTTTTGAACTTGTTTTATTCGTGAAATGTGAGAATGGTTTTTGTCAATTTGATATAAGAAACAAAGAAACAGATTAATGCATTCCGAAACTAAATCACCGATGCCACCAATTCGATAATATATAAAATCAATATATGAACTCAGTTTTGTAGTGTTATATAGCTAGGCTAAAAGTCGCTTACATGGTATATAGTTTTAAAAATCCAGCGGAATTTTCAGACCTTTACCATTACAATTTGTCTGAATTTTGTACCAAAACTTTTGAATTTGAAAAGCTATTGGAAATAAGTACTAAGTATACTCCTTACGTATAACGTCTTGTGTTATCACAGCAAAAATGAAAGAAACTTCCTAACGGTGAAAGAAAAATTAAATTTTTAAAACCAAAAAAAGAAGTACCATGAGTAAGTCTAATTTGAAAATGCACAATTTTAACTAGCACCAGCACTTAACTAGTATTGACGTGAAAAGCACTGATAAAAAGATGTACGACAGCCGTAGTTTATTTCTTTATTTTGAGATGGTTTAATGGCAAGACGTAAAAAAAGATGCATGTTTATAAATGTAACAACACACGAAGTTTATGATTTTAAATACTTGTACTTGTTATGATAATATTAATTTGTTTTATCGATAGTAGAACGTACATTTCAATATTGTTTTAGTTTGATCGTGAAAGCCCACCTTTTTCAAAATTAAAGTCATCTGAATATTCATATAAAGGTAAGAAATCAACAAATATCATTGCATGTCAATAACAGTATGATCCTTTCTAAGTCTTTCTTTATTTGTATCAATGTTAGTTTCATTACAATAATTGCATGATTTACAGTTTTGATTCAAATAAAATCACAGTAATATTGCGTGGCAACATAAATGTTTGTACTTATCCTGCATGCGGTGCAATGTCTGAAACTCAGAATGCAAAATGGGTTTTGTGGGTAGCTGCTGCGCATTTGTGGCTAACCACTATGTTACTGTAATATTCTTTGTGTGGGTTTCATGCACTGATCTCAAATTAAGACTGGATCAAGCATCTAGCAGAAAAGTTTTTTATAGAAGCAATGTTTCCACACTAGAAAGACATTTCGTTTGATATTACATACATTTTACACATAGTTTTCAAATTTGAAAATGACGTGGAGCAATGAGCATACAACAGAACAGAGGACAGACAATAATGTCAATAATGAAATATCGAATTTTAAACTTTTTTGTACTAACTGTATGCAATGGCATAGGTATGAAACTTTTACAATAGTTTCTGAGTAGCAGCAAGTTTAAAAATCATTTAAGAAAACGATGATTTTTTATAAGCAAACATGTTTCTACATGAAAAAAATGCCATCTTCAGTACGAAATGATTAGTGTTACGAAATATGATGCAGTATAGGAAAGTACGTAGAATAAATTGTTTACATTGACTGGGAATGTGATATAATTTTAAATGGTTTTAAATGGTTTTAAATTTTAAATGGTTTTATCTTGAAAGGCGGTAGCTTCCATTGCATCTAGCAATTTGTTTTAATCCTCTAGTTTTGAATCTACCTCTTTACGAGCAACTTTATTCTTAATTCAGAAGACTGACACTTAACAATTACTTGGTCTCGACTCTGCTCCGAAAATTGATCTACAAAACTAAAATTTTCACTGTGTCATCTTAGTTAAATGAAGATATGATCTTCGCACTTTGCTAGACAATTTAAGCAATTGTCTCATAATCCTAAAACAATTCAACGGGATTCGAGCCCATGACCACTGCGATGCCGGTACAGTGCTCTAACCAACTGATCTATGAAGTCACACAGTGGAGAGCAGGTCAATTTGTTGGGCTGATGTTTTCCCGTGAAAGGAATGTCATATCAAAGAATGTTATATCAGTGCGGTGTTTGAAATTAATTTGAAATTAATTTGAATTTGAGTCACCTGAATTTTTTTAGAAAATTGCTTAAATTGTCCAGTAAAGTACGAAAATCATATCTTCATTTAATTTCAATCACCGCACTGCATATAACATTCTTTCATGTGTCATCTTAGCTTACTGACAAATTGATCCATGTGTAGTACTTATTACATACAGACAATTCTAAAGATCCTATCTGTTATTTTATGATTACAGATAAACTGCACTGCAATCGACTAATTACAATCGAGGAATATCTGAAACTGTATTTTTACAATCTATATTACACAGTCCACCACTTTCGCCACTTATATTTTCGTATGTCACGTGGTACAAACTGTAAACATTGCATACATTGTCACAGTTCTATCATATATTCTTATATAGTGTTGACTGTTTTTGCTTAAAAAATTTCGAGTATTCTTTTGGCAATTTTATGATACGAATATCTTTTTTCATTTTGTAATAAATGGCAGTGGTTCTCTTAGCTATATAGTTGCTAGCTTCTATAGTCAATCATAATCGACTTTAGAAAATGTGAATACTGAATAGTGTTGACGGAAAAGATCGTTGAAACGTTATGTGCTTTGTGTATTTCTAACAACGATTCTCGCCCTACAAAGTTGATGAAAAATAATGAAACTGGTAACATAGTATATTTTTTAAAGATTCCTGCGCAATAAAAGTGAAATTTTGCACCATATTCAACTTTATGTCTGATTGAATGTTTAAATTAGCTACGCCGTCACATAGCTTACCCAATTCTTGTAGGTGACCACAAGATCATTAGCTAGCTTGCATTGACATTTGTGTAGACGAGAAACAAAATTTCTCGAACTTTTGTAGAGTTTTGTATATTAGTAAAACATTAATCTGTAGAAGTTTTAACATATGATATTAATGTTTTGTAACATATGATATAACACATGACGAAATAACGTTTAAAATGATTGAAACTTTTACTTCTTTACTTCTACTGATTTTATTAATTGAAGGTGTTGCTTCTAGGTGTTAAGTTCACATTTGCAATTCAAATTTTTGCTGTTGGAAGATTAACTATGCATCTTATTACTTACAACTCTACGTTTAAATTTTTGTGGTGATAATGTGTAAAAGGTTTGTGTTTATATATGTTGTTTGTTGATCCGTTTCAGTTGATCTTCGTTACACTAAACTTTCATCAGAGGAAATTGAAAAAATTAGTCAGAAAGTTGCAACTGATTGGACTACACTGGGTCGTCTTCTAGAAATACCTTTAGAACAACGTCATGAAATTTTTGTTAACCACAAAAGTTTTCCAAATCCCTCCGCAAAGGCTCAAAGGATTTTGAAGATCTTTAATGAACGAACAGATTTCGATCGACATTTATTAAAGAAATACCTTGGAGAAATATATCTTGATTTGGATGAAATTTTGGCTCCCACAAAACAGGTATTTATTTAACATTTGGGAACATATATCTTGTTTTTTTTGCCAAAAATTTCTCCACACTTGCATTTATCGTCATAAAACGTATAATGCAGTAGCTAGATTGTAACTAAAATAAGTTATGAAAGAAAAAATCTATCGGAATGTTCTTTGACGCAACTTCCGCTTTCACTGTAGTTTTATAGTTGACGTACTTGTAACGGTTGATTCATAGATTGTTCGATATTTCGACATCTTGCCAAACTAAGCCGTCATGCGATTGTAAAATAGTGATTTTACTTCAACTTAGCATTGTTTCTGTTTAAAGAGAAATTTTCAGGCAAAGAACTACAAATTATCGTACGATAATTGTCATTTCTGTGTTTGCCTTAATGCGAGTATTGTGGTATAGTATTTCACATACTCAACCGATCTATGTAGCAAAACATTCCAACTTGCAAGTGTTCTATAAATATACGTTTTGAACTTGTTTTATTCGTGAAATGTGAGAATGGTTTTTGTCAATTTGATATAAGAAACAAAGAAACAGATTAATGCATTCCGAAACTAAATCACCGATGCCACCAATTCGATAATATATAAAATCAATATATGAACTCAGTTTTGTAGTGTTATATAGCTAGGCTAAAAGTCGCGTACATGGTATATAGTTTTAAAAATCCAGCGGAATTTTCAGACCTTTACCATTACAATTTGTCTGAATTTTTGTACCAAAACTTTTGAATTTGCGAAAAGCTATTGGAAATAAGTACTAAGTATACTCCTTACGTATAACGTCTTGTGTTATCACAGCAAAAATGAAAGAAACTTCCTAACGGTGAAAGAAAAATTAACTTTTTAAAACCAAAAAAGAAGTACCATGAGTAAGTCTAATTTGAAAATGCACAATTTTAACTAGCACCAGCACTTAAATAGCATTGACGTGAAAAGCACTGATAAAAAGATGTACGACAGCCGTAGTTTATTTCTTTATTTTCAGATGATTTAAAGTTAAGGCGTTAAAATTGATGAATGTTTATAAATGTAACAACACACGAAGTTTATGATTTTAAATACTTGTACTTGTTATGATAATATTAATTTGTTTTATCGATAGTAGAATGTACATTTCAATAATGTTTTAGTTTGATCGTGAAAGCCCACCTTTTTCAAAATTAAAGTCATCTGAATATTTATATAAAGGTAAGAAATCAACAAATATCATTGCATGTCAATAACAGTATGATCCTTTCTAAGTCTTTCTTTATTTGTATCAATGTTAGTTTCATTACAATAATTGCATGATTTACAGTTTTGATTCAAATAAAATCACAGTAATATTGCGTGGCAACATAAATGTTTGTACTTATCCTGCATGCGGTGCAATGTCTGAAACTCAGAATGCAAAATGGGTTTTGTGGGTAGCTGCTGCGCATTTGTGGCTAACCACTATGTTACTGTAATTTTCTTTGTGTGGGTTTCATGCACTGATCTCAAATTAAGACTGGATGAAGCATCTAGCAGAAAAGTTTTTTATAGAAGCAATGTTTCCACACTAGAAAGACATTTCGTTTGATATTACATACATTTTACACATAGTTTTCAAATTTGAAAATGACGTGGAGCAATGAGCATACAACAGAACAGAGGACAGACAATAATGTCAATAATGAAATATCGAATTTTAAACTGTTTTTGTACAAAATGTATGCAATAGCATAAGTATGAAACTTTTACCAAAGTTTCTGAGTAGCAGCAAATTTTAAAAACATTTGAAAAAAATGATGATTTTTTATAAGCAAACATGTTTCTACATTAAGAAAATGCTGTCTTAAGTACGAAATGATTAGTGTTACGAAATATGATACAATATAGGAAGGTACGATATGAATAATTTGTTTACATTGAATGGGAATGTGATATAATTAAAAGGCGTTTTAATGGTTTTTTCTTGAAAGTCGCTAGCTTCCATTGCATATAGCGATCTGTTGTACATCCTCTAGTTTTGAAGCTAACTTCTTTTGAGCAACTTTATTCTTAATTCAGATGACTGACACTTAACAACTACTTGGTCTCGACTATGCTCCGAAAATTGATCTACAAAACTACAATTTTCTTTGTGTCGTCTCAGCTTGATCACAAATTGATCGATATGTAGCATTACTTACATATAGACAAATCTAAAAATCCTATCTGTTATTTTATGATCATAGATAAAGTGCACTGCAAACGACTAATTACAATCGAGAAGTATCTCAAAGTGTATTTTTACAATCTATAATACATGGTTTTTATGAATTTGATTAGAATCCACCACCTTCGCCAGTTATATTTTCGTATGTCATGCGGCACAAACTGTAAACAATGCGTACATTGTCAAAGCTCTATTATATATTCTTATATAGCGTTGACTGTTTTTGCCTGAAAAATTTCGAGTATACTTTTGGCAATTTTATGATAAAATATCTTTTTTCATTTTGTTATAAATGGGAGTGGTTCTGTTAGTTACATAGTTGCTAGCTTCTATAGCCAATTATAATCGACTTTAGAAAATGTGAATACTGAATAATGTGGATGAAACAATCATTAAAACGTTATGTTCTTTGTGTATTTCTAACAACGATTCTCGCTATACAAAGTTGATGAAAAATAATGAAACTGGTAACAAAGTGTATTTTTTCAAGATTCGTGCACAATAAAAGTGAAATTTCGCACCATATTCAACTTTGTATCTGATTGAATGTTTAAATTAGCTACCCCGTGATATAGCTAAGCCAATTCTTTTTAAGTGACTCCAAAATCATTAACTAGAAGTAACTTTTATCATTTACCTATTGACTGTTATTTCTAAGCGACTTAAAAAGATAGTCGTGTGACGAAACTGCCCTAAAAACACATCAATACTCGAAAATTTTTGAAGTCAAAACAGTCATTGCCGTATGAAAATATATGATAGAGATGTGAACAGTATGGGGAATATACAGTAGTTTCATACCGTGTGCAACTTGCTGCTGTATATTTAATTAGATTATTTGCTGCTGTTAGCCATTTTATCATTCCTATTGGTCAAAAAAAGCAATTGATTGGCTGCCACTATGGTAATCACATGCGTGATAAGATATGCGTTGCACGAAAAATCAATGGAGTGGCTCTACTGTATATCTACCACACTGTGGCTGTGACTATGTACACAATGTTCATAGTTTCTAGATACCACGTGATATGCAAAATATTACTCGTGTTTTCTAAGCAGCAAGATTGTCTTAAATGCTGTTGACATTGCTCCATAGAAATAAGGAGTGAATATTATTCACAGAATGCATGTATGTATGTAAATGAAAAACACACAAGAAGAACAAGTTTCAAAAATAAAAGGTAGACATAGCATAGAGTAAGGCCCTGTTTACATGAGACCGGAACGACGTCAAACCGCGGTACCTCCTTGTGTTTGTCATAGTATTATTTATAGTAGATGTTTACATGGGACCGTTACGAAAATGACTCTGAGCTGTCTGAAGTCGTACCGCCTGCTGAACCGATCCAACTGAGTTCAGAACGGTATGAATTGAAACCGGCATCAATGTATACTCAAATTAATGTTTGACCGGTCTGAAATGGCCTAAACGCATGCGCACAAAAGCAAATTACTAAAGCAAAATGGCTAGCAAGCGTAAAATTAGCCTGCAAAGGAGGCATTAACGCGAATGAGGATTTTTCGTGATTTCGTGACGGTCCCATGGAAACATGCAACAAATTCTGAATTTTATCCCGGTTTGACTTCGTTCCTATCTCATTTTAACAGGGCCTACGTAGATAGGGTTAAGGCAACTATCAGTTATGTACATAGTAAGAAGCGTTGAGAAAAACTAAAGAATAGGAGGTGTATGAAAACACTGAAGGAAGACAAGGGAAACATCTACTTGTTTATCATTATGAATGACGAAGTCTTAGCTTTAGTTAGGAAAGTGCTCAGTTTTAGCAATTTTCTTACAAACACTATCTATTCATACGGTTTGGGTTAGTGTAAATTAACCATAGGGCAAACGTTTCCATGCAACGGTGGGTTATTGCACCTTTTCTTTTCTCATTCTGACGCCAAATTTTTGTTCTCATGTGGTGTAACAAAATTGGTGTTACATGTTTTTGTTACTCCACTTTAGATGAGCATAGATACACCAAACTTACACCTGAGGAAATCGAAAAAATTAGTCAGAAAGTTGCAACTGAATGGAATGGACTGGGTTGTCTTCTAGAAATACCTTCATTCGAATTAAAAAAAATTTCTTCAAACCACGTAAAATATCCAGATCCCTTCGCAAAGTCTAAAAAGATTTTGGAGATCTTCAATGAGCAAACGAACTTCGATCGACATCTATTGAATAAATGCCTTAAAAAACTATATCTTGATTTGGATAAAATTTTGTCTCCACCAAAACAGGTAACCATTAGGTATTTATTTACATACACTTTTTAAGGATACACCCTGTGAATAATTCTAATATGTTGTCAGGGGCGAGTGCCATGAGTGTTAGGGAAGAACTTCATCTAAATTGCAGTTGAATTGTTCTTGCAGGAGTTAATAACAATACTGATTGACTTAACGTTTACACATAAAACACGATGCAATAGACACTTAACATATTTAACATGTTATTTTAAAAGCTTTGAGACGATTAACCCCCCCTCCCTCCCTACACACACACACACACCCCTTCATTCATTATTCAGAAATCATATTTTCAAAGCGTCCAATCTAATTTGAAAACTAAGGGAAGATATGGTCTAAAAAGATTGTTGCCAGCTCGCAAATTTGGTCCTGCTATGTTAATTTTTCTGTGTTCACTTACTGTAAAAACAGTTGATTTCTAAATAAATTAATATAATGTTAATATTCTAAAATTTACATAGCGGACCAAAACATGCGGGCTAGCTACGCTACTGATAAACAAGTATAATGTTTTATAACAACTAATCCCATTTTGGTAATACCTTTCAATAATTCAATTTTATTTGGTTGTCCTCATTGCATCCAGAAAAACTTAGCTTTAGTTGTTTTAGTCAGTAATTTTCATACTGCACCTGTCCACACGTATACGCAAAAACGGAGGAAAATAAGCACCGAGCATGCGCATTTACTTGTAACAATAGATTCATCAAGCTTTTGCAGCATCCAAATTTTGGCGCTATTTAGAAACATCTGTTTACCTTTGGCATCGTGGGGCTCTCTGTTTGTTTGATTTCGTGAGTTTGAATAAAAATTAGAATTGCCAAGTCAAATAAATGCTCCACCAAAGGAAAAGGTAAAGTCGAATGTTATAATTGGACTGATGATGAGGTCGAGCTTCTCCTTAAATTTACGGAGGAGTACAAGGTTAAACAAACCCTGAGAACATCGACTGGGAATCTTGTCAGAGCAAGTACTCTGATATACTTTATTTATTTAAATCGCAATATCCATCTGAAGAAAACGCCAAGGATATCGGAAAGGATTTTCCACACAACAAAGAAGATATTACCAGAGTAATAATAACCACCAAACTCAAGGCAATACAGTCCAAATTCAGAGCAGCCATCGATATTGGAACGAAAAATGGACATGGAAGGGTAGTTCTTTTGTATTTCAAAGTTTGTGAAGCTCTGTGGGGAAGATCCCCTGCCACATCCACAATAAATGCTGGATTTGAGTCTGCAAGCATAACAGTTGACTCAATAAATTCATCTTCACTTATTTGAGTTGTATATCATCAACAATCTTTGAGAGCGATATCTCACAAGAAAGAGACAAAATGGAGACCTCTAAAGAAGTGCAGGAGTCTGAACTAAAGAAAAGAAAATTTGCTTTATGCAAAACTAATAATATTGGCACGAGAAGAGGTGCAAATGAAGAAAAGAATGCTAGAAAAATTGATGAAATGGATCAGGAGCATTCACAACACTTGGCACGACTACCTACCAGCATAGAGCAGCTGACAGGCTTTATTGCTAACGGATTAGCAATGCTGAAGTCAATGATGCAGCGTACTTCATTTCCAATACAACATGTCTCTCAACATAATTCTTTACCTTTTACACATCCACATTCAAATAGTTATGCACAATGCACACAAGCCAGAGTTAGTGGTCATGATAAATACAACTTGAAAACTTTACAGCCAAGATACCCCGAACAATCTGGTGTGTTCCCCAATTATTAATAAAAAGAACAAAAATCTATTTGCACAGTTTATTTTTCATAAAGACAGCATTAATAGCACAATTTGAAACAATGTATATCATTAAATCAACCCCATAATTAAGTAGATTAATAGTAGCGAGAGACTTGCCGAGCGAAAATCGAATTCGTGTAATAAAAGTGAATGCCCAACATAAAGTTCTGATTAGAGCCATAGAAATAGACCAAAAAACAAATTGTGAAATTAAATTTATTGTAACGTTTCGTCTTTACTCAAGACATCTTCAGACAAATATAAATAGGACGTTAAGACATGATATTATATTTACAAAAAGGTGTTAAATTACTACTAAAGGAGGCCGTGACAGATGAATATATGATAAGGAAGTTAGAAAGTAAAATAAAGAGAAATTAAAAGAGATTAAGTGGAACGGAGTTTCCTTGCACATTAAGTGAAGGCTTGCATTTATTGATTAGAAGGCTTTCATGAATGGAGAGTTCGTAAGAATCGTTAGAAGAGGAGATTATTTTAAAGTCGTCTAAGTTGGGGGTGTGTCCAGTTGCGTTAATGTTAGCAAAAATGCTTGATAACACATGATGAGAAACTTAGTTGCCTGTATGGGGGGATATTCCCAAGTGCTCCGAAAATCTGGTGTGTAGATGACGTGTGATTTGACCCACATACGAGGCGTTGCAGCTTCGACACCTGAATAAATAGACTACACCAGATCTCAGAGGTTTGGGAATTTTGTCCTTAAAGGGGAAAAAAGAAGAGATACGTTGGGAAGGGCGGAAAACAAATGTAATAGATATATGTGGGAAAGCTGCAGCACAAAGGCTATTGATTTGTGTGCGAATTTGGAGGGAGTGTATGCCGGTGAAAGGAACACAAAAATAGATGGGCATTTTGTGAGCAGTCAAGACAGGTGGTTTGGGGGCGAAGGTGTTGTTAAGGAAGCGACGTGTGATTTGGTCAATTATACGTGAAGGAAAACCGTTTTTGGTCAGTGACTTTCTGGTAAATTCGAGTTGTGTATGAAAATTTTCGTAAGTAGAACAAAGGTTGAAGATGTGAAGAGAAGTGAAAGTTTGTGGAAGGTGGATGAAGAGGCCAGTGAAAGTAGGTTTGCGGTAGACGGAAGTGGAATATAAGTGCGAGACATATCAATGTCAAAAAATGAGAACTTACTGTTTTGTTTGACTTCAGCTGTGAATGTGATGTTAGGGTGTTGTCGGTTCAAATAGTCAAGAAAGAGAGGGACGTGATCGGACGAATGAAAAAGTAAAAATAACAGTCGTCAACGTAGCGTCGGTAAAGTTGTGATTTGAATGAAGAAGGACATTTATTAAGCCAGGATTGTTCGTGAAAGGACATGAATATATCAGCAAAGAGAGGAAAAAATCCGGATGATTCATTAACAGGTTCTCGTTTGAGACGGTTGTAGAGTTTTTCAAAGGGCGTAAGCAAGGTGCAAATGTTTAACTTTTTCAGTGGGATGAAAAGGTTTAAGCCTTTTGAAAGGATTTCTTTCTCTCTGTCAGTAATGAGGCGGTTTGAGAAGTTGAACACCACTTTATCAGGGTCGATTGGGATGTTGTTGTCATGTTTGGATGTGAGACGGAAAAGTTTGAGATCTTGGATATGTTGATGTTGCGTTTGTTTTCTTGAATTTCAAATGCAAATTAAAAGACATTGCCCACTCAGGTTTCCGAAGATACAGCCCACCACCTTTCCTATATTCACAATAAGACTTCAACATTTTAAATAATTTAAAAAACGATAGAAGTATCCTCATCACTAAACCTGACAAAGGAAATGGCATCGTTATACTTAACAAAGACGACTACATAAAGAAAATGCACACACTCTTATTTGACACTACAAAGTTTCAACCTCTTAATGGAGATCCAGTTAAAGTCACTTTACAACGAGAACATCAAGTGAAGTCTTTATTAAGAAATGTTGAAAGATGCTAAATCTTTCGGCAAAGAAACTTACAAAGAACTTTACCCACACTGGTTCACGAATAGGTATATTGTATGATCTTCCTAAAATACATAAATATAACATCTCTATCAGGCCCATTCTTTCCTCCATTAATCACTATTCGTATAAACTAGCAAAGTTTTTCATCCCACTCCTAAAACCCTTTACTACAAGCAACCTCATCATCAAAGACTCTTTCTCTTTTGTTGAAGAAATCCTAAATTGCGATATCAACTTCAGTAATGTTGTCCTTGCTAGTTGTGATGTATCCCTATTTACTAACATACCTGTTGACGAAATCATCCGCATAATATCCTAAAACATTTTTAACAACCACCAGTACTTCAACGGACTCACTGCAACAGAATTTGAAAAACTACTCTCTCTAACTGTTAAGAACTGTCACTTTATCTTTAACGGGAAAATGTACCAGCAAATTGATGGTGTGGCTTTGAGCAGTCCATTGGGCCTTCTCTTTGCTCATATATTCATGTCCTTTCACAAACAATCCTGGCTTAATAAATCCCCTTCTTCATTCAAACCACTACTTTACCGACGCTACGTTGACGACTGTCTTTTACTTTTTCATTCTTCTGATCACGTCCCTCTCTTTCTTGACTATCTGAACCGACAACACCCTAACATCACATTCACAGCTGAAGTCAAACAAAACAGAAAGTTCTCATTTCTTGACATTGATATGTCTCGCACTTATGGAAAATTTACCACTTCCGTCTACCGCAAACCTACTTTCACTGGCCTCTTCACCAACTTCCACAGCTTCATCCCACTTACTTACAAACTTGCACTAGTCTCGTGCTTACTTCACCGCATTTTCAACCTTTGTTCTACTTACGAAAATTTTCATACACAACTCGAATTTACCAGAAAGTCACTGACCAAAAACGGTTTTCCTTCACGTATAATTGACCAAATCACACGTCGCTTCCTTAACAACACCTTTCCCCTAAAACACCTGTCTTGACTGCTCACAAAATACCCATCCATTTTTGTGTTCCTTTCACCGGCATACACTCCCTCCAAATTCGCACACAAATCAATAGCCTTTGTGCTGCAGCTTTCCCACATATATCTATTAAATTTGTTTTCCGCCCTTACCCAACGTATCTCTTCTTACTTCCCCTTTAAAGACAAAATTCCCAAACCTCTGAGATCTGGTGTAGTCTATTTATTCAGGTGTCGAAGCTGCAACGCCTCGTATGTGGGTCAAATCACACGTCATCTACACACCAGATTTTCGGAGCACTTGGGAATATATCCCCCCTTACGGGCAACCAAGTTTCCCACCATGTGTTATCAAGCATTTTTGCTCACATTAACGCAACTGGACACACCCCCAACTTAGACGACTTTAAAATAATCTCCTCTTCTAACGATTCTTATGAACTCTCCATTCATGAAAGCCTTCTAATCAATAAGTACAAGCCATCACTTAATGTGCAAGGAAACGCCATTCCACTTAACCTCTTTTAATTTCTCTTTGCTTGGTCAAAATCCTTCTTGTTTTTTTACCATCACTTTCATTGCAATCAGTGGTGAAATTGTTAGCAACAACAGCTGGTTGAAACTCTCTATCGTAATCAATGGCGAAGGAATACTTCTCTTCTCCTAGAGTTTGAAAATACTCTAGTATCTTCCACACTCCCAGGCCATTTGACAACAACATCCACGAAACAATAATTATAATCACAAGCAGATTATTGAACATTAAGGCTATAACGACCCTTACGATTGATGTAATCTGTTAAGTTTGCATTCGGCTGCCTATTTTTTATGTGGGCTCCGTCAATTGCTCCCAAACATTGAGGGAAACCGTGCGCTCAATGGTATTTTTTTACCAGACAATTCACTTCTTCCTCTGTCCTTGGAAGTTTAATATAGTTTGAACCGAGATAAATTGTTATGGCTTTACACACTTTCCGGACGACATTTGACACAGATTGCCGTGAAAGTCCAAAAGCGTTAGCTGTTTTCCGCATACAACCCTCGTCGCTCAAATAATATAATGTGACGGCTACTTGCTTCACAACGTCGACTGCTTTCCTCATTATAGTGTTTTTCCCTTCTTAATTCTTCCGCCAAAGAGTTTAGCGATTCTCTGCTCATCCCAAAGTTCTCCCTCGATTCCTCTGGTATGACTATTTCACTGGCAAAGTTGTCCAAAATCTTCGTGGTCTAACTGGTTTTTTCTTCACTCGTTTTAACACTTTAGTGACATCTTAAAACACGGAAAGCAACTTCATGATATTCATCCGCTTTCTTAAATATTGTTCTACAAATTGTTCTAAAAATCATTTGTTGATTACATTATGATGAATACTTAGATGTTGATGAGGTTATATAAAATTTTTATGCATCTATAGTGAAATCAATTGACGCCTTCTTTGAAACTTAAAAATGACATTGTATTTCTGAACTGGACTTATACCAATGGAACCTACTAAATCTTTCGCTATAAAATAAAAAATAATTTAATTGGACAAGAGAAATATTTTCTCAAAACTTTAACTTTAATACGCTCAAATCATGCGTACAAGACTTTATACACAGCTAACAATAAGCAGAATTTTTGATTAAATACAGGTCAGCTTGCCTCTAATTTTATCAGATATGTTTGGATAAATGAGTAAAATCATAATTCATTAATTTTTGTTACTCTCCTTTTCGTCCAAAATGCACATTTACTATCGAAATTCATTCTACATTAGGGAAATCGGAGCAACTCTTATGCACTCAATTGTTTTAGTTTAACTCATTCCTAAATGTACTGACTTTATGTCTATCAAAGAATTGCAGTTGAAACTGGGGATAAACAGTGACTTTAGAGACGGTGAAAAACCTGATTTTTAAGGTCAATAAGAGTGGTGCTAACAAATCATTGAATGTGATTCACGTGAAACAGCTTTTTCGTATCATGCATAAGTCACAAAAATTTTCACAAGGTCTTTGACGCTTGACAAGTGATATTTTAATATTTATTATTGCTTTATTTACCATTTTTTGATTTGACAGATCTTGAAGCCATTGGAAGCGTCTTCTGCAAGACTTTATGAAGGAAAAATTGAAGCCAGGAAGGAACGTCGCAACCCTAATATTGACGGCAAGTAAAACTCATGTTACTCACAAATAATAAGTAATTGAATGCAAACTTCAGGTAAACTATTCAACATAAGCCAAATGACGAGAGTTTGAGTGGTATAAAAAAAACACAACATACTGATTCATAGGTGAAGCTAAAGTAGAGTATGTTAATAGAGGGTTAAGGGAGGTGGCAGTGAGTGATGTGTACAGAGAAAAACCAAGAAGATGCACTAAAAGAGGACAAGTAAACCTTAATGCTTTGATGTGTTGTTGCGTATTTTCTCGAGATGATTTATTGCAAAGCAACAGAAAGAGAAACATGTAATCATCTACTTTTGAAATTTTACGCTTGTGTGCGAGGAAGTCATATATTCTGCATTTTTATGACAAATAGATATGGCTATATGACAAACGGCTTTTAAACATTCGGACTAAAAAAATGCACGATTTAAGAATTAAAGTATTTCTTTTTGTTGCTTGTTATAAAAGCAATGTTTCCACACTAGAAAGGCATTTTGTTTTATATTATGTACATTTTACGCACAGTTTTCAAATTTGAAAATGAAGTGGAGCAATGAGCATACATCACAACAGAGGTCAGACAACAATAACAATAATGAAATATCGAGTTTTAAACTGTTTTTGTACGAAATTTATGCAATGGCATACTTATGAAACTTTTACTATAGTTTCTGAGTAGCAGCAAGTTTAAAGTACATTTAAAAATGATGATTTTTTATAAGCAAACATGTTTCTTCATTTACAAAATGCCATCTTCAGTACGAAATTATTCATATTGCGAAATATGATACAGTATAAAAATATACGGTATGAATAAGTTGTTCACACTAAATGGGAATGTGATATAAATAAAAGGCGTTTTAATGGTTTTATCTTGAAAGTCGACAGCTTCCATTGCATGTAGCAATCTGTTGTACATCCTCTAGTTTTGAATCTAACTCCTTTCGAGCAACTTCATTCTTAATTTAGACAACTGACATTTAATTAAAATTACTTGGTCTCAACTATGCTGCAAAAAATTTGATCTACAAAACTACAATTTTCTGTGTGTCGTCTCAGCTTGATCACAAATTGATCGATGTGTAGTATTATTTACATATAGACAAATCTAAAAATCCAATCTGTTATATTATCAATACAGATAAACTGCACTGCAATCGACTAATTACAATCGAGAAGTATCTCAAAGGGTATTTTTGCAATCTATATTACATGTTTTTTTATGGGTTTGATTGGAATCCACCACTTTCGCAACTTATATTTTCGTATGTCACGCGGTACGAACTGTAAAGATTGCGTACATTGTGACAGCTCTATCATATGTTCTTATACAGCGTTGACTGTTTTATCTTGAAAAATTTAAAGTATTCTTTTGGCAATTTTATGGTACAAATATCTTTTTTAATTATGTTATAAATGGCAGTGGTTCTGTTAGTTATATAGTAGCTAGCTTCTATAGTCAATCACAATCGACTTTAGAAAATGTGAATACTGAATAGTGTGGTTGGAAACGATCTTTAAAACGTTATGTGCTTTTTGTATTTCTAACAACGATTCTCGCCATACAAAATTGATGAAAAAAAATGAAACTGGTAGTAAAGTATATTTTTTAAAGGTTCGTGCACAGTAGAAGTGAAATTTTGCACCATTTTCAACTTTATGTCTTATTGAATGTTTAAATTAGCTACGCCTTAGCTTACCCAATTCTTTTTATGTGACCCCAAGATCATTAACTAGAAGCAATTTTTATCATTTACCTTTTGACTGTTATTTCTAAGCGGCTGAAAAAGATAGTTGTTTGACGAAACTGCCCTAAGAACACATCAATAGTCGAAAATTGCTGAAGTCAAAACAGTCGTTGCCGTGTGAAAATAAATGATAGAGCTGTGAACAGTATAGGGAATATACAGTAGGTGCTTACCGTGTGCAACTTGCTGCTGTATATATATTTATATTATTGGCTGCTGTTAACCATTTTATCATTCCTATTGGTCATAAAAAGCAATTGACTGGCTGCCACTATTGTAATCACATGCGTAATAAGATATGCGTTGCACGAAAAAAATCAATGGAGTCGCTCTACTGTATATTCACTACACTGTGGCTGTGACTATGCAGGCAATGTTCACAGTTTTTAGGTACCACGTGACATGCAAAATATTACTCGTGTTTTCTAAGCAGAACTTCCTTGTAATTTGCAACAAGATTGTCTTAAATGTTGTTGACATTGATCCATAGAAATAAGGAATGAATATTATTTGCAGAATGCATGTATGTATGTAAATAAAAAAGACACAAGAAGAGCACGTTTCAAGAATAAGAGGTAGACATAGAATAGAGTATGGCCCTGTTTATATAAGACCGGAACGAAGTCAAATCGGGGTACCAGCTCGTGTCTTTTTCATAATATTATTTATAGTAAACGTTTACATGGGAGCGTTACGAAAATGACTCAGAGCAGTCTGAAGTCGTACCGCCTGCTAATCTGATCCGACTGAGTTGAGAACGGTATGAATTGGAACCGGCATCAATGTAAACTCAAATTAATGTTCACACTGGTCTGAAACGGCATCAACGCATGCGCACAAAAGAAAATTACAAAAGCAAAAATGGCTAGCAAGCGTAAAATTAGCCTGCAAAATGGCATTCCGCGAATGAGGATTTTTCGAGGTTTCGTGCCGGTCCCATGTAAACATGCAACAAATTCTAATTTTCATTCCGGTTTGACTTCTTTCCGGTCTTATGTAAACAGTGCCTTCGTAGACAGAGTGAAGTCAATTATCAGTTATGTACATGGTAAAAAGCGTAGAGAAAAACCAAAAATAAGAGGTGTATGAATACACTGAGGAAGACAAGGGGAATCTCAACTTGTTTATCATCTTGAATGACGAAGTCTTAGCTTTAGTTAGGAAAGTGCTCATTTTTAGCAATTTTCTTACTAACACTATCTTTTCATACGGTTTGGGTTAGTGTAAATTAACCATAGGCCAAATGTTTCCATACAACGGTGGGTAATTGTACCTCTTCTTTTCCCATTCTGACACCAAATTTTTGTTCTCATGTGGTGTAACAAAATTGGTTTTACATGTTTTTGTTACTCTATTTTAGATGATAATAGTGACACCAAAATTACCATATGGAAACCTTTACCTTCAGAATTATATCTAAGAGAAAGTAGAGCCGCCAGGAATATACGTCGCAACCCTTTTATTAAAGGCAAGTAAAACTCATGCCTTGTTACTCTTAAATCACAATTAATTCAATGCAAACCTCGGGTAAACTATTCAACATAAGCAAAATGACTAGTTTTTGAGTTATATGACAAAACACAATATACAGATGCATAGGTGAAGGTAGAGCAGAGTATGTTAATTGAGGGCAGAGGGAGGTGTCAGTGAGTGATGTGTACAGGGAAAAAACCAAGGAGATGCACTGGAAGAGGACAAGTGAAAACTTAATGCTTTGATGTGTTGTTGCCTATTTTCTCGAGATGATTTATGGCAAAGCAACAGAAAGAGAAACATGTAATCACTTACTTTTGAAATTTTACGCTTGTGTGTGAGGAAGTCATATATTCTGCATTTTTATGAGAAATAGATATGGCTATATGACAAATGGCTTTTAAACATTCGGACTAAAGAAAATGCACGATTTATAAATTAAAGTATTTGTATTTGTTGCTTGTTATAAAAGTAATGTTTCCAAACTAGAAAGACATTTTGTTTTATATTATGTACATTTTACGCACAGTTTTCAAATTTGAAAATAAAGTGGAGCAATGAGCATACATCACAACAGAGGTCAGACAACAATAACAATAATGAAATATCGAGTTTTAAACTGTTTTTGTACGAAATTTATGCAATGGCATACTTATGAAACTTTTACTATAGTTTCTGAGTAGCAGCAAGTTTAAAGTACATTTAAAAAAATGATGATTTTTTATAAGCAAACATGTTTCTTCATTTACAAAATGCTATCTTCAGTACGAAATTATTCATATTGCGAAATATGATACAGTATAAAAATATACGGTATGAATAAGTTGTTCACACTAAATGGGAATGTGATATAAATAAAAGGCGTTTTAATGGTTTTATCTTGAAAGTCGACAGCTTCCATTGCATGTAGCAATCTGTTGTACATCCTCTAGTTTTGAATCTAACTCCTTTCGAGCAACTTCATTCTTAATTCAGACAACTGACATTTAATTAAAATTACTTGGTCTCAACTATGCTGCAAAAATTGATCTACAAAACTACAATTTTCTGTGTGTCGTCTCAGCTTGATCACAAATTGATCGATGTGTAGTATTATTTACATATAGACAAATCTAAAAATCCAATCTGTTATATTATCATTACAGATAAACTGCACTGCAATCGACTAATTACAATCGAGAAGTATCTCAAAGGGTATTTTTGCAATCTATATTACATGTTTTTTATGGGTTTGATTGGAATCCACCACTTTCGCAACTTATATTTTCGTATGACACGTGGTACGAACTGTAAAGATTGCGTACATTGTGACAGCTCTATCATATGTTCTTATACAGCGTTGACTGTTTTATCTTGAAAAATTTAAAGTATTCTTTTGGCAATTTTATGGTACAAATATCTTTTTTAATTATGTTATAAATGGCAGTGGTTCTGTTAGTTATATAGTAGCTAGCTTCTATAGTCAATCACAATCGACTTTAGAAAATGTGAATACTGAATAGTGTGGTTGGAAACGATCTTTAAAACGTTATGTGCTTTTTGTATTTCTAACAACAATTCTCGCCATACAAAATTGATGAAAAAAAATGAAACTGGTAGTAAAGTATATTTTTAAAGGTTCGTGCACAGTAGAAGTGAAATTTTGCACCATATTCAACTTTATGTCATATTGAATGTTTAAATTAGCTACGCCTTAGCTTACCCAATTCTTTTTATGTGACCCCAAGATCATTAACTAGAAGCAATTTTTATCATTTACCTTTTGACTGTTATTTCTAAGCGGCTGAAAAAGATAGTTGTTTGACGAAACTGCCCTAAGAACACATCAATAGTCGAAAATTGCTGAAGTCAAAACAGTCTTTGCCGTGTGAAAATAAATGATAGAGCTGTGAACAGTATAGGGAATATACAGTAGGTGCTTACCGTGTGCAACTTGCTGCTGTATATTTATTTATATTATTGGCTGCTGTTAGCCATTTTATCATTCCTATTGGTCATAAAAAGCAATTGACTGGCTGCCACTATTGTAATCACATGCGTAATAAGATATGCGTTGCACGAAAAAAATCAATGGAGTCGCTCTACTGTATATTCACTACACTGTGGCTGTGATTATGCAGGCAATGTTCACAGTTTTTAGGTACCACGTGACATGCAAAATATTACTCGTGTTTTCTAAGCAGAACTTCCTTGTAATTTGCAACAAGATTGTCTTAAATGTTGTTGACATTGATCCATAGAAATAAGGAATGAATATTATTTGCAGAATGCATGTATGTATGTAAATAAAAAAGACACAAGAGGAGCACGTTTCAAGAATAAGAGGTAGACATAGAATAGAGTATGGCCCTGTTTATATAAGACCGGATCGAAGTCAAATCGGGGTACCAGCTCGTGTCTCTTTCATAATATTATTTATAGTAAATGTTTAAATGGGAGCGTTACGAAAATGACTCAGAGCAGTCTGAAGTAGTAAAGCCTGCTAATCTGATCCGACTGAGTTGAGAACGGTATGAATTGGAACCGGCATCAATGTAAACTCAAATTAATGTTCACACTGGTCTGAAACGGCATCAACGCATGCGCACAAAAGAAAATTACAAAAGCAAAAATGGCTAGCAAGCGTAAAATTAGCCTGCAAAATGGCATTCCGCGAATGAGGATTTTTCGAGGTTTCGTGCCGGTCCCATGTAAACATGCAACAAATTCTAATTTTCATTCCGGTTTGACTTCTTTCCGGTCTTATGTAAACAGTGCCTTCGTAGACAGAGTGAAGTCAATTATCAGTTATGTACATGGTAAAAAGCGTAGAGAAAAACCAAAAATAAGAGGTGTATGAATACACTGAGGAAGACAAGGGGAATCTCAACTTGTTTATCATCTTGAATGACGAAGTCTTAGCTTTAGTTAGGAAAGTGCTCATTTTTAGCAATTTTCTTACTAACACTATCTTTTCATACGGTTTGGGTTAGTGTAAATTAACCATAGGCCAAATGTTTCCATACAACGGTGGGTAATTGTACCTCTTCTTTTCCCATTCTGACACCAAATTTTTGTTCTCATGTGGTGTAACAAAATTGGTTTTACATGTTTTTGTTACTCTATTTTAGATGATAATAGTGACACCAAAATTACCATATGGAAACCTTTACCTTCAGAATTATATCTAAGAGAAAGTAGAGCCGCCAGGAATATACGTCGCAACCCTTTTATTAAAGGCAAGTAAAACTCATGCCTTGTTACTCTTAAATCACAATTAATTCAATGCAAACCTCGGGTAAACTATTCAACATAAGCAAAATGACTAGTTTTTGAGTTATATGACAAAACACAATATACAGATGCATAGGTGAAGGTAGAGCAGAGTATGTTAATTGAGGGCAGAGGGAGGTGTCAGTGAGTGATGTGTACAGGGAAAAAACCAAGGAGATGCACTGGAAGAGGACAAGTGAAAACTTAATGCTTTGATGTGTTGTTGCCTATTTTCTCGAGATGATTTATGGCAAAGCAACAGAAAGAGAAACATGTAATCACTTACTTTTGAAATTTTACGCTTGTGTGTGAGGAAGTCATATATTCTGCATTTTTATGAGAAATAGATATGGCTATATGACAAATGGCTTTTAAACATTCGGACTAAAGAAAATGCACGATTTATAAATTAAAGTATTTGTATTTGTTGCTTGTTATAAAAGTAATGTTTCCAAACTAGAAAGACATTTTGTTTTATATTATGTACATTTTACGCACAGTTTTCAAATTTGAAAATAAAGTGGAGCAATGAGCATACATCACAACAGAGGTCAGACAACAATAACAATAATGAAATATCGAGTTTTAAACTGTTTTTGTACGAAATTTATGCAATGGCATACTTATGAAACTTTTACTATAGTTTCTGAGTAGCAGCAAGTTTAAAGTACATTTAAAAAAATGATGATTTTTTATAAGCAAACATGTTTCTTCATTTACAAAATGCTATCTTCAGTACGAAATTATTCATATTGCGAAATATGATACAGTATAAAAATATACGGTATGAATAAGTTGTTCACACTAAATGGGAATGTGATATAAATAAAAGGCGTTTTAATGGTTTTATCTTGAAAGTCGACAGCTTCCATTGCATGTAGCAATCTGTTGTACATCCTCTAGTTTTGAATCTAACTCCTTTCGAGCAACTTCATTCTTAATTCAGACAACTGACATTTAATTAAAATTACTTGGTCTCAACTATGCTGCAAAAATTGATCTACAAAACTACAATTTTCTGTGTGTCGTCTCAGCTTGATCACAAATTGATCGATGTGTAGTATTATTTACATATAGACAAATCTAAAAATCCAATCTGTTATATTATCATTACAGATAAACTGCACTGCAATCGACTAATTACAATCGAGAAGTATCTCAAAGGGTATTTTTGCAATCTATATTACATGTTTTTTATGGGTTTGATTGGAATCCACCACTTTCGCAACTTATATTTTCGTATGACACGTGGTACGAACTGTAAAGATTGCGTACATTGTGACAGCTCTATCATATGTTCTTATACAGCGTTGACTGTTTTATCTTGAAAAATTTAAAGTATTCTTTTGGCAATTTTATGGTACAAATATCTTTTTTAATTATGTTATAAATGGCAGTGGTTCTGTTAGTTATATAGTAGCTAGCTTCTATAGTCAATCACAATCGACTTTAGAAAATGTGAATACTGAATAGTGTGGTTGGAAACGATCTTTAAAACGTTATGTGCTTTTTGTATTTCTAACAACAATTCTCGCCATACAAAATTGATGAAAAAAAATGAAACTGGTAGTAAAGTATATTTTTAAAGGTTCGTGCACAGTAGAAGTGAAATTTTGCACCATATTCAACTTTATGTCATATTGAATGTTTAAATTAGCTACGCCTTAGCTTACCCAATTCTTTTTATGTGACCCCAAGATCATTAACTAGAAGCAATTTTTATCATTTACCTTTTGACTGTTATTTCTAAGCGGCTGAAAAAGATAGTTGTGTGACGAAACTGCCCTAAGAACACATCAATAGTCGAAAATTGCTGAAGTCAAAACAGTCTTTGCCGTGTGAAAATAAATGATAGAGCTGTGAACAGTATAGGGAATATACAGTAGGTGCTTACCGTGTGCAACTTGCTGCTGTATATTTATTTATATTATTGGCTGCTGTTAGCCATTTTATCATTCCTATTGGTCATAAAAAGCAATTGACTGGCTGCCACTATTGTAATCACATGCGTAATAAGATATGCGTTGCACGAAAAAAATCAATGGAGTCGCTCTACTGTATATTCACTACACTGTGGCTGTGATTATGCAGGCAATGTTCACAGTTTTTAGGTACCACGTGACATGCAAAATATTACTCGTGTTTTCTAAGCAGAACTTCCTTGTAATTTGCAGCAAGATTGTCTTAAATGTTGTTGACATTGATCCATAGAAATAAGGAATGAATATTATTTGCAGAATGCATGTATGTATGTAAATAAAAAAGACACAAGAGGAGCACGTTTCAAGAATAAGAGGTAGACATAGAATAGAGTATGGCCCTGTTTATATAAGACCGGATCGAAGTCAAATCGGGGTACCAGCTCGTGTCTCTTTCATAATATTATTTATAGTAAATGTTTAAATGGGAGCGTTACGAAAATGACTCAGAGCAGTCTGAAGTAGTAAAGCCTGCTAATCTGATCCGACTGAGTTGAGAACGGTATGAATTGGAACCGGCATCAATGTAAACTCAAATTAATGTTCACACTGGTCTGAAACGGCATCAACGCATGCGCACAAAAGAAAATTACAAAAGTAAAAATGGCTAGCAAGCGTAAAATTAGCCTGCAAAATGGCATTCCGCGAATGAGGATTTTTCGAGGTTTCGTGCCGGTCTCATGTAAACATGCAACAAATTCTAATTTTCATTCCGGTTTGACTTCTTTCCGGTCTTATGTAAACAGGGCCTTCGTAGACAGAGTGAAGTCAATTATCAGTTATGTACATGGTAAAAAGCGTAGAGAAAAACCAAAAATAGGAGGTGTATGAATACACTGAAGGAAGACAAGGGGAACCTCTACTGCCTTGTCATGAATGACGAAGTCTTAGCTTTGGTTAGGAAAGTGCTCATTTTTAGCAATTTTCTTACAAACACTATCTATTCATACGGTTTGGCTTAGTGTAAATTAACCATAGGACAAATGTTTCCATACAACGGTGGGTAATTGCACCTCTTCTTTTCCCATTCTTACGCCAAGTTTTTGTTCTCATGTGGTGTAACAAAATTGGTGTTACATGTTTTTGTTTCTCCACTTTAGATGATCCTAGATACACCAAACTTACACCTGAGGAAATCGAAAAAATTAGTCAGAAAATTGCAACTGAATGGATTCGACTTGGTTTTCTTCTAGAAATACCTTCAGTCCAATTGAAAGAAATTTATTTAAACCACGTAAAATATCCAGATCCCTTCGCAAAGTCTAAAAAGATTTTGGAGATCAACAATGAGCAAAAGAAATTCGATCGACGTATATTGAATAATTGCCTTAAACAACTACATCTTGATTTGGATAAAATTTTGTCTTCACCAAAACAGGTAACCATTAGGTATTTATTTACATACTTTTTTGAAGGATACATCCTGTAAATAATTTTAATATGTTCTCAGGGGTGAGTGCCATGAGTGTTAGCGAAGAACTTCATCTAAATTGCAGTTAAATTTTTCTCGCAAGAGTTAATAACAATACTGATTGACTTAACGTTTACACATAAAACACGATGCAATAGACATTTAACATACTCAACATGTTATTTTAAAAGCTTTGAGACAATTAACCCACCCCTTACACACCCCTTCATTCAATATTCAGAAATCATATTTTCAAAGCGTCCAATCTAGTTTGAAAACTATGGGATGATATGGTCTAAATAGATTTTTTGAAAATAAAGAAATACTGATTTTGTACATATATGTCGCATACAATAATCTCTAGACTTGAACAGCCTTGTTTTAATGTTTATTTATCGTGATCCCAGTCTTCCGGTATATGAATTTAGTTTACATTTGTCGTCAACGTTCTTAGTTAATTACAGGAGCATTTCGCAAGTTTCGAATATGTTAACTATCAAGATTACTTTTTTTACTTGTCAAGACTTTTTAGATTTGTATAAGACTATGGAAGGGCAAGCGCGTTGTAATTTGTAATTTTAATAGCATGTGGTATGTGAGAATGGTTTAAAATTAGGTTTTCTAGAGGTGTATTGCCAAGATCAGGAGTATGAATGTTGTTAGGTTGTAAGAATAGCATGGTCGTGGACCTAAGTGAGAAATTGAACATGTTCATGTTGAGATTAATACTGGCTTAAAGTAAAAGTGGTTGCAACCATTATCAAACGCTTTTTTCGACAAAACAAAAATTGTATAAACAACAGTTGCCAGCCCGCAACTTTGCTCCTGCTAAGTTAATTTTTCTGTGTTCACTTACTGAAAAACAATAGATTTCTAAAGAAATGAAAATAATGTTACTATTCTAAAATTTACATAGCATGACTAAAACATGCGGGCTAGCTACGCTACTGACAAACAAGTATAATGCTTTATAACAACTAATTCCATTTTGGTAATAGCTTTCTATAATTCAATTTTAATTGGTTGTCCTCATTGCATCCAGAAAAACTTAGCTTTAGTTGTTTTAGTCAATAATTTTCATACTGCACCTGTCCACACGTATACGCATAAACAGAGGAAAATAAGCACCGAGCATGCGCATTTACTTGTAACAAGAGATTCATAAAGCTGTTGCAGCATCCAAATTTTGGCGCTATTTAGCAACATCTGTTTACCTTTGGCATCGTGGGGCTCTCTGTTTGTTTGATTTCGTGAGTTTGAATAAAAATTTAGAATGGCCAAGTCAAATAAAGGCTTCACCAAAAGGAGAAGGTAAAGTCGATTGTTATATTTGGACGGATGGTGATATCGAGCTTCTCCTTATATTTACGGAGGAGTACAAGGTTAAACAAACCCTGAGAACATCGACTGGGAATCTTGTCAGAGCAAGTACTCTGATATACTTGATTTATTTAAATCGCAATATCCATCCGCACAAAACGCCAAGGATATCGGAAAGGATTTTCCCACACAAGAAAGAAGATATTACCAAAGTATTAATAACCACCAAACTCAAGGCAATACAGTCCAAATTCAGAGCAGCCGTCGATAATGGAAAGAAAAATGGACATGGAAGGGTAGTTCTTTTGTATTTCGAAGTTTGTGAAGCGCTATGGGGAGGATCCCTTGCTACATCCAAAATAAATGCTGGATTTGAGTCTGCAGACATAACAGTTGACTCAATAAATTCATCTTCAACTTCTTTGAGTCCTATATCATCAACAATCCTTGAGAGCGATGTCTCACAAGAAACAGACAAAATGGAGACATCTAATGAACTGCAGGAGTCTGAAATAAAGAAAAGAAAATTTGCTTGATGCAAAGCTGAGGGGCTACAAACAAGAAAAATTAAAAAGAAAAATCTGATCAGAAAATGAACTTATAATATTGGCACGAGAAGAGGTGCAAATGAAGAAAAGAATGTTAAAAAAAATTGATGAAATGGATCATGAGCATTCACAACACTTGGCACGACTACCTACCAGCATAGAGCAGCTGACAGGGTTTATTGCTGACGGATTTGCAATGCTGAATTCAATGATGCAGCATATTTCATTTGCAATACAATATGTCCCTCAACATAATTCTTTACCTTTTACACATCCACATTCAAATAGTTATGCACAATGCACACAAGTCGCAGTTAGTGGTCATGATAAATACAACTTGACCACTTTACAGCCAAGATACCCTGATCAATCAGGTGTGTTATCCAATTATTCATAAAAAGAACAAAAATCTATTTGCACAGTTTATTTTTCATAAAGACAGCATTAATAGCACAATCTGAAACAATGTATAGCATTAAGTCAACCCTATAATTAAGTAGATTAATAGTAGCGAGAGACTTGCCGAGCGGAAATCGAATTCGTGTAATAAAATATAATGCCAAGCATAAAGTTCTGATTAGAGCCATAGAAATAGACCAAAAAACAAATTGTAAAATTAAATCTATTGTAACGCTTCATCTTTACTCAAGACATCTTCAGACAAATAATAAATAGGATGTTAAGACATGATATTATATTTACAAAAAGGTGTTAAATTACTACTAAAGGAGGCCTATTTACTAACATACCTGTTGACGAAACCATCCGCATAGTATCCAAAGCATTTTTAACAACCACCAGTACTTCAACGGACTCACTGCAACAGAATTTGAAAAACTACTCTCTCTATCTGTTAAGAACTGTCACTTTATTTTTAACGGGAAAATGTACCAGCAAATTGATGGTGTGGCTTTGGGCAGTCCATTGGCCCTCTCTTTGCTGATATATTCATGTCCTTTCACGAACAATCCTGGCTTAATAAATGTCCTTCTTCATTCAAACCTCTACTTTACCGACGCTACGTTGACTTCTGTTTTTTACTTTCTCATTCCTCCGATCACGTCCCTCTCTTTCTTGACTATCTGAACCGACAACACCCTAACATCACATTCACAGCTGAAGTCGAACAAAACAGAAAGCTCTCATTTCTTGACATTGATATCTCTCGCACTAATGGAAAATTCACCACTTCCGTCTACAGCTTTTTTAATTTCTCTTTATTTTACTTCTTAACTTCCTTATCATATTTCCATCTGACACCGCCTCCTTTAGTAGCAATTTAACACCGTTTTGTAAATATAATTTCTTGTCTTAACATCCTATTTTTATTTGTCTGAAGATGTCTTGACTAAAGACTAAACGTTACAATAAATTTAATTTTACAATTTGTTTTTTGGTCTTTTTCTATGGCTCTAAACAGAACTTTATGTTGGGCATCAATTTTTACTACCCGAAGTAGATTGATGTTATGTTCAAATAAAACTTTTCCTACATAATTAAATTAAAAATCAATATATCAATGTTGTGTCAAGGTCAATCTTGGAAAAGCTATCATGTTCAATGTATTATAAGTACATTTAGAAGGAAGTTTTTGTGCAAATTGTTCTACATTTTTCAAACACATCAGATTCTCAAGGATCAAAGTACTTTTTCAAAATCCTTCTTGTTTTTTTACCATCACTTTCATTGCAATCAGTATTGAACTTGTTAGCAATAACAGCTGGTTGAAACTCTCTATTGTAATCAATGGCGAAGGAATCCTTCTCTTCTCCTAGAGTTTGAAAATACTCTAGCATCATGCACACTCCCAGGTCATTTGACAACAACATCCACGAAAAAATAATTATAATCACAAGCAGCCTTAACATTAAGGCTATAATGACCCTTACGATTGATGTAATCTGTTAAGTTTGTATTCGGCTGCCTGTTTTTTATGTCGGTTCCGTCAATTGCTCCCGAACATTGAGGGAAACCGTGCGCTCAATGGAACTATTTTACCAGACAATTTACTTCTTCCTCTGTCCTTGGAAGTTTAATATAGTTTGGACCAAAATAAATTGTTATGGCTTTACAAACTTTCCGGACGACTTTTGACACAGATTGCCGTGACAGTCCAAAAGCGTTAGCTGTTTTCCGCATACAACCCTCGTCGCTCAAATAATATAATTTGACGGCTACTTGCTTCACAACGTCGACTGCTTTCCTCATTATAGTGTTTTTCCCTTCAATGTATGAAATTAAATCTTCCGCCAAAGAGTTTAGCGATTCTCTGCTCATTCTAAAGTTCTTCCTCGATTCCTCGGGTACGACTATTTCACTGGCAAAGTTGTCTAAAATCTTCGTGGTCTAACTGGTTTTTTCTTCACTCGTTTTAAAACTTTAGTGACATCTTGTGACAAGGAAAGCAACTTCATGATATTCATCCGCTTTCTTAAATATTGTTCTACAAATTGTTCTAAAAATCATTTGTTGATTACATTATGATGAATATTTAGGTGTTGATTACATTATGTAAAATATTTTATGCGTTTATAGTAAATTCAAATAAACACCTTCTTTGACACTTAACAATGACATTGTATTTCTGAACTGGACTTACACCAATGGCACCTACTTTATCTTTCGCTATAAAACAAAAAATAATTTAGACAATAGAAATATTTTCTGAAAACTTTAACTTTAATACACTCAAATCATACATGAAAGGTTTTATACACAGCTCACAATAAGCAGAACTTTTGATTAACTTCAGGTCAGCTTGCCTCTAATCGTATCAGATATGTTTGTATAAATGAGTAAAATTTTAATTCATTAATTTTTGTTGCTCGCCTTTTCGTCCAAGATTCATATTTACTATCGAAACTCATTGTACATTGGGGAAATCGGAGCAAGTCTTATGAATTTAATTGTTTTAATTTAACTCATCACTAAATGTACTGACTTAATGTCCTTCAAAGAATTGCAGTTGAAACTGTGGATAACCAGTGACGAAAAAGACTATAGTGACGGTAAAAAACGTGATTTTGAAGGTCAATAAGAGTGGTGCATGCTCATATTTATATAACAAATCATTGAATGTGATTCACGTGAAACAGCTTTTACTATCATGCAAAATTCGAGAAAATTTTCACAAGGTCTTTGACGCTTGACAAGCGATATTTTAATATTTATTGTTTCTTTATTTGCCATTTTTTGATTGACAGATTTTGCATAAAGTGGAATCGTCTTCTTCAAGACTTTATGAAGGAACAAGTGAAGACAGGAAAGAGCGTCGCAAACCTAATATTGACGGCAAGTAAAACTCATGCCTTGTTACTTACAAATCATAAGTAATTAAATGCAAACCTTGTGTAAACTATTCAATATAAGCAAAAATGACGAGTGTTTAACTGCTATGACACAACATACTGATGCATAAGTGAAGGTAAAGTAGAGTATGTTAGTAGAAGGCAGAGGGAGGTATCAGTGAGTGATGTGTACAGAGGAAAACCAAGGAGATGCACTGAAAGAGGACAAGTGGAACCTTTATGCTTTGATGTGTTGTTGCATATTTTCTCGAGATGATTTACGGCAAAGCAACAGAAAGAGAAACATGTAAACATTTACTGTTGAAATTTTACGCTTGTGTGCGAGGAAGTCGTATATTCTGCATTTTTATGAGAAATAGAAATGGTTATTTGACTATTGGCTTTTAAACATTGGGACTAAAAAATGCATGATTTAAGAAATAAAGCATTTGTATTTCTTGCTTGTTATAGAAGCAATGTGTCCACACTAGAAAACATTTTGTTTCATATTATATATTTTTTACGTATAGCTTTCAAATTTGAAAATGACATGGAGCAATGAGCATACATGACAACGGAAGTCAGACAATAATGTTAATAATGAAATATCGAATTTTAAACTGTTTTTATACGAAATGGATGCAATGGCATAAGTATGAAACTTTAACCAGAATTTCTGACTAGCAGTAAGTTTAAAAAACAATTATAAAAACGATGATTTTTTATAATCGAACATGCTTCTGCATTAATAAAATGGCATCTTCAGTACGAAATGATTAGTGTTACAAAGGATGAAACAATATGGGTAGATACGATTTGAATAAATTGTTTACATTGAATGGGAATGTGATGTATTTAAAAGGCATTTTAATGGTTTTTTCTTGAAAGTCAGTAGCTTCGATTGCATCTAGCGATCTATTGTACATCCTCTAGTTTTGAATCTACCTCTTTACGAACAACTTTATTTTTAATTCAGACGACTGACACTTAACAATTACTTGGTCTCAACTATGCTCCGAAAATTGATGTACTAAACTACAGTTTTCGGTGTGTCATCTCACATTGATCACAAATTGATCGATGTGTAGTATTTTTTACAAATAGACAAATCTAAAAATCCTATCTGTTTTTTTATGATTACAAGAATGTCATTCTTGTCATTCTACGTAGACAGGGTAAAGGCAATGATCAGTTATGTACACCGTAAGAAGTGTAGAGAAAAAACAAAAAATAGGAGGTGTATGAATACTCTGAAGGAAGACAAGAGGAACCTCTACTTGTTTATCATCGTGAATGACGAAGTCTTAGCTTTAGTTAGGAAAGTGCTCATTTTTAGCAATTTTCTTACAAACACTATCTTATCATGTGGTTTAGGTTAGTGTAAATTAACCATAGGACAAATGTTTCCATGCTACGGTGGGTAATTGCACTTCTTCTTTTCCTATTCTGACGCCAAGTTTATGTTCTCATGTGGTGTAACAAAATTGGTGTTACATGTTTTTGTTACTCCACTTTAGATGATCTTAGATACACCAAATTTACACCAGAGGAAATCGAAAAAGTTAGTCAGGAAGTTGCAACTGAATGGATTGAACTAGGTTTACTTCTAGAAATACCTCCAGTCCAATTTAAAGAAATTTCTTCAAACCACGTAAAGTATCCAGATCCCTCCGCAAAGTCTAAAAAGATTTTGGAGATCTTTAATGAGCAAACGAACTTCGATCGACATGTATTGAATAATTGCCTTGAAAAAATATATCTTGATTTGGATAAAATTTTGTCTCCACCAAAACAGGTAACCATTAGGTATTTATTTACATACTTTCTTTTAAGTATACATCCTGTGAATAATTCTAATATGTTCTCAGGGGCGAGTGTTATTAAAAACTTCATTTAAATTGCAGTAGACACTTAATATACTCAACATGTTATTTTGAAATCTTTAGGACGACTAACCCATAAATTCTTACCATAAATTAAGAAAGTCTCTTTAAGATTTAGCAATTATGCCAAATGGATGTAGATTTACCAGGCTGCTACTTGCTGTTTATATACAGTTATAGCAGAACGACACATACAAAAACTTAGCTAAACATACAAAAATAGCAATTAAATTTGCAATTTATTGAAAAAACTCTGGCATTCTTGACCAGTTCAGGACTTATGTGAAATTTCTAAAATAAATGTTTTTAATTTAATAAGCTTGAGTGTCTGTTAACTCCTTTAAAAAGTCGTTAATGATAGAAACCCTTTTTTATAATAAACAAATCATAAATTTCTCACATAAGGAATGCGATCTATTATTAATTATGTTTGCAGTTTGCCATACCCCCCCCCCCTAAAAAAATGTATCAGAGTTCTGGCTACGCACCTGCATGTAGTTACGTGTCATACTCGGTAGATTATAAAAAAATATCTCAAATAAAATAACAGTAGGCTGAATTGTCAAGATACGGATTTGAAAACCGTAAAAGCTTCTTAAGTTTCTTTCATTTTTTTGTCAATTTGATATAAGAAACAAAGAAACAGATTAATGCATTCCAAAACTAAATCACTGATGCTACCAAACCGATAATATATAAAATCAATATATGAAATCAGTTTTGTAGTGCTATAGCTAGGCTAAAAGTCGCGTACATGGTATGTAGTTTTGAAACTCCAGCGGAATTTTAGACCTATGCCATTACAATTTGCGTGTATACTTGTACCAGATTTTTGAGTTTGGGAAAAGCAATTTAAAAGTAAGTACTAAGTGCTGAGAAGCATATTCCTTACGTCTTGTGTTAGCACGGCAAAAGTGAAAGAAAGGTCCTAACAGTGAAAGGAAATTTACTTTTTAAAACCAAAAAAAGAAGTACCATCAGAAAGTCTTATACGGACATGCACAATTTTGACTAGCACCAGCACTTCAATAGCAATGACGTGAAAAGCACTGATAAAAATATGTACGACAGCCGTAGTTTATTTATTTATTTTGAGATGATGTGTATTAAGGCGTAGAAAAAGATGAATGTTTATAAATGTAACAACGCACGAAGTTTATGATTTTAATTAATTGTACTTGTTGTGATAATATTAATTTGTTTTATCGCTAGTAGAATGTACATTTCAATAATGTTTTAGTTTGATCGTAAAAGTCCACCTTTTTCAAGAATAAAGTCATCTGAATATTCATATAAAGGTAAGAAATGAACGAATATTGTTGCATGTCAATAACAGTATGATCCTTTTTAAGTCTTTAGTTCACAAAAAAGCACTGTAAATTCAAAAACATTTGTTAGGTCCAAATCATGTTTATGTTGCTGATTCTTTAAACAATCTTGGTTTGGTGTTTGAAATAACTGGAAACTACGACAAAGCTTTAGAGGTTCACGAAAAAGCTCTAGAATTTCGAAAACAATCGTTAGGTCCAAATCATGTCGCTGTTGCTCAGTCTTTAAACAATCTTGGTTTGGTGTTTTATAAAATTGGAAACTACGACAAAGCTAAAGAGGTTCACGGAAAAGCTCTAGAAATTCGAAAACAATCGTTAGGTCCAAATTATGTTGATGTCGCTCAGTCTTTAAACAATCTTGGCTTGGTGTTTGAAAAAACTGGAAACTACGACAAAGCTTTAGAGGTTCACGAAAAAGCTCTAGAAATTCGAAAACAGTCGTTAGATCCAAATCATGTCGCTGTTGCTCAGTCTTTAAACAATCTTGGTTTGGTGTTTTATAAAATTGGAAACTACGACAAAGCTAAAGAGGTTCACGGAAAAGCTCTAGAAATTCGAAAACTATCGTTAGGTCCAAATCATGTTGATGTCGCTCAGTCTTTAAACAATCTTGGTGATTTGTTTTATGAAACTGGAAACTACGACAAAGCTATAGAGGTTCACGAAAAAGCTCTAGAAATTCGAAAACAATCGTTAGGTCCAAATCATGTCCATGTCGCTTCGTCTTTATACAATCTTGGTAATGTGTATCATAATATTGGAAACTACGACAAAGCTATAAAGTTTTACGAAAAAGCTCTAGAAATTCGAAAACAATCGTTAGGTGCAAATCATGTTGATGTTGCTGTTTCTTTAAACAATCTTGGTAACATGCTTGAAAAAACTGGAAACTACGGCAAAGCTATAAAGTTTTACGAAAAAGCTCTAGAAATTCGAAAAGAATCGTTAGGTGCAAATAATGTTGATGTTGTTGTTTCTTTAAACAATCTTGGTAACATGCTTGAAAAAACTGGAAACTACAACAAAGCTATAGAGGTTCAGGAAAAAGCTCTAGAAAGTCGAAAACAATCGTTAGGTCCAAATCATGTTTATGTTGCTAATTCTTTGAACAATCTTGGTTTGATGTTTGAAAAAACTGGAAACTACGACAAAGCTATAGAGGTTCACGAAAAAGCTCTAGAAATTCGAAAACAATCGTTAGGTCCAAATAATTATTTTGTTGCCGAGTCTTTAAACAATCTTGGTTTGGTGTTTTATAAGACTGGAAACTACGACAAAGCTAAAGAGGTTCACGAAAAATCTTTAGAAATTCGAAAACAATGGTTAGGTCCAAATCATGTTGATGTCGCTGAGTCTTTAAACAATCTTGGTTTGGTGTTTTATAAAACTGGAAACTACGACAAAGCTATAGAGGTTCACGAAAAAGCTCTAGAAATTCGAAAACAATCGTTAGGTCCAAATCATGCTCATGTCGCTTCGTCTTTAAACAATCTTGGTTTGGTGTTTGAAATAACTGGAAACTATGACAAAGCTATAGAGGTTCAGGAAAAAGTTCTAGAAATTCAAAAACAATCGTTAGGTCCTAATCATGTTTATGTTGCTAATTCTTTAAACAATCTTGGTTTGGTGTTTGAAAAAACTGGAAACTACGTCAAAGCTATAGAGGTTCACGAAAAAGCTCTAGAAATTCGAAAACAATCGTTAGGTCCAAATAATTATTTTGTTGCCGAGTCTTTAAACAATGTTGGTTTGGTGTTTTATAAGACTGGAAACTACGACAAAGCTAAAGAGGTTCACGAAAAATCTTTAGAAATTCGAAAACAATCGTTAGGTCCAAATCATGTTGATGTCGCTGAGTCTTTAAACAATCTTGGTTTGGTGTTTTATAAAACTGGAAACTACGACAAAGCTATAGAGGCTCACGAAAAAGCTCTAGAAATTCGAAAACAATTGTTAGGTCCAAATCATGTCGCTGTTGCTCAGTCTTTAAACAATCTTGGTTTGGTGTTTTATAAAATTGGAAACTACGACAAAGCTAAAGAGGTTCACAGAAAAGCTCTAGAAATTCGAAAACAATCGTTAGGTCCAAATCATGTTGATGTTGCTAATTCTTTAAACAATCTTGGTTTGATGTTTTATAAAACTGGAAACTACGACAAAGCTATAGAGGTTCACGAAAAAGCTCTAGAAATTCGAAAACAATTGTTAGGTCCAAATCATGTCGCTGTTGCTCAGTCTTTAAACAATCTTGGTTTGGTGTTTAATAAAATTGGAAACTACGACAAAGCTAAAGAGGTTCACAGAAAAGCTCTAGAAATTCGAAAACAATCGCTAGGTCCAAATAATGTTTATGTCGCTGCGTCTTTAAACAATGTTGGTAATGTGCTTGAAAAAACTGGAAACTACGACAAAGCTAAAGAGCTTCACGAAAAAGTTCTGGAAAATCAAAAACAATCTTTAGGTAAGAATATATACAAATTTCATGATACATAAAAGATAAAAGTTTCTCCGGATTTAAGTGATTTTTATTGAGCTTTCGACACGTTGCTATAAATTTAAATCCCAGAGTTAAGTGGTTCATTGACATACAAATTGTTTCATGTGAGGACTGGGTTATTCATTTTGGTTGTAGACAAACAAAAGAGCCAAAGCAATAATCAAAACGCAGTTGGGATTCATATTTACATTAATCAACCAAAAGAATAATTCAAAAATCTACATATAAACTTAAAACATATACATAAAACCCACTCTAAAGAACAGTGAGATGGAAATAAATTAGGATGATTTTAAAACAGACATATTTCAGCATGCTTATGCCATTTTCAGTGTATTACTCTTTACAGTAAGAAAATATTATGTCATTTATACATCTCGCAGATATTATATTACAGGAGTGAAAGTAGAAATTTTATTACAAGTTAAAATTCGACCTATAATGTATTTGTTTGCTGAGATCTAGTTTTATCAAGTTTGCTTAGTATAAAGCATAAATATATGGTTTAAGCCATAAAGATAACAAAAGCTCGGCAAAACATGTGTCTACATATTGTCAAATCGTGGTCTGTATGAAATATTTATTTGCTATTTTGCTACTAATAAATTATTGAAACTACATTGACATAGCGTGACTGACATTGATACCAAACATTATTATAGCAATTCCAGTCATTATGTTTCCTGCAGGATTTTTCCCTAACTTTATAAAGGTGTTGCATGATTTTCAATTCATCATTTGCATTTGTTTTTACTAATTCAAAATATTATAGCGATCACTTCTTTTTATTCCTCGCGCTCATTATTTCATAACTGAAAAACTTACGACGACGAGTTGATTGTTTAATGAATATATAGCCCGAGATAGAAGTAAACAAGACACATATCGCGATAAAATTTCTATGTTTGACCGATCTTTCTTAATTGCCTCGACTCCGCATGGAAAGGCAGCCTTCTCCACAAATTGAGTGATTCGGCAAAGATTTCATATACATTAAAGGAAAGAATCGTCAGCGAGAAATGAATTCGAACTTCGAAGTAGCTATTAACTTAAGCAACCATTCATTTGCTCTGTTTAGGAATTCGATTTTCTATGCTTTTGGGTGCTTGCATATTCTTTAGAAAACTTTTGAATATATATAAATACTGTGTATGACGATAATGTATGATTAAAATAATTCCAAACTTTTCTTTTAACTCCACCAGTAATTAAACAACAACGCTAAAAAATGTGTTAATTTCGTTTATTGACAGGTTGTATAAAATTGCATAATGTTGTAATAGTTTCTTTGTCCTCAAAACAGACAGTCAACAGCAACGGACTTTAACAGCTTTTTCTTATAATTTCTAAGATACTCGACAGAGATTGGCGACAATAGTTCGTTAACACTTATCAATATCTGAATTCATTACAACGCCCTTAACCAAATGTGAGGTCTTTACGGAGAAATATCGGACTGAAGTTATTTGTACTGACCAAGACCCTTAAGGCGAGGTTTGTGTTAAAAACAGAGGTCCGAGATTTCTCAATAAAGACCGAGCAGGCGAGGTTAATAAAAAGTCAATTAGCTATATGTATATGACACTTTGGAGCAAAACTAAATGAAATTTATAGATTTAAAAAGCTACTTTCCAAAACTTTCCAATTTATTTGTGTTATTTCTTTTCGAGTGCTAGCTGTATATTCATTTTTACTTGTTGTCAAAATAGAAATACTCAGCTTTTGTGGATAACGCTGTTTAAAATATTGTTCGTAGAAGTCACAAGTGGTGATGATGCTAATGCTAAAGATTCTCCTGGTGTTGAAAATGCAAAACAAGGTATGCCTTTCAATTCGATTTTATTTTATATATATTGCATAACCTAAGCATATTTTTTTGTATTGTATCACAATTCAAGTCATTTGATTGATATTTATGTGTTTTTATGAAGATTTACATTATTTCATAATATGCAAGATGTAGTTATACAGTGTTGCACTTTCGGACTCTAAACGTTCGTTTGTTACGTATGTTCAATACTGTATCAGTGACTTAAATTTTCCTTTTGCGAACGACAAATGATTTAAATGTACTGTATACCAGGCGGCAGTGCTCAGCACAACTTGACAAGTCTTTATTAATCTCAATAAATCCTGCGTAACAGCAAAGTGGCGCCACTCTTTTTATAAAGTACTTAAATTGACTACATTTCATAAGTTCCATTGAAGAAAAAGGATTATAATAAATTAACTAAAACCTTTTAAACAAATGTTGACATAATGTACACCATACAGATCAGACCCTGTCCAGGTTAGACCATCTGTTTTAAAATTGCTCGTGTTTGATTACATTAATTACTATTTTCTTTGTTAGAGTACAGGAGATTAGTCTGAGTATAACTTTTTTCTAGTTATAACTTATGTTTTTTGCTCCTGGCTTACAGCAAGTTGACACAATTAAAAAACATCACCAAGTCCTAGTTCTGATAAAAGTTTCCTTCAAATACAGTCTTCAATCAACCTTTTATATTAACAAATGTTATGACATATATGAGTTTTTTTCTACACATGTCTAAGCAACACTTAATGGTAACATTTGCTGCTGGTTTAATCTGTTTTAACGATGACAGTTAATCTTTTCACTTCACAATTTTTACTTGAAGCACATTATCAGTCAGTTGAAATTAAGATGAGACATGAGGTGATAATGACATCATGCAATCTATTTTTTTTAAAGTAACCTTTATTTGTATTCTGGTTGTTTAATCATAAAAACTTCTCAGCAAACTATCCTTTTGATATATTGTCATGCTTCACGTTTGCACCAACATGCATAAACTACCTAGCTAATGACATTGAAAATTATGCAAAAACGGCCACCATCAAATCGACTTTCTCAATACACTTCAATAAATAAGAATTCCTGTTCATTGTAAGTAAAATACCTCAAAATCATATAGAAAATTAGCAAATTTAACGATGCGAATTCTCAAAGTTCCACAATAAAAAAGAAGGCTATTTACAGTTTTCATTATAACAAATGTAGCATTAAATTTCACATTTATTAAACGATCTTCTACATTCTAAATTTAGAGAAAATTACAATTTTTTTTGAGCTCTCTCCTTGCTAAGTATACTGGAGATTAACTCTTCAGTGTAAACACCGTTCAAATGTCCACAAAGATCATTTTCTCGCTTAGAATTAAATTTTGAATACTTTTTACTTAGAATTGTTGAAAGTTGCATGGAGCATAAAAGTTTGTATATCTGTTTTTTCTACGAGAAAATTTACCAAAATGGCAAAACATAAAACAACGACTTTATTCATTGATTTCAATAAATTACTCCCACTGATCTTAAATAAATAAGTGTAATTACTTGAAGAACTATATTAGAAGACCAAGTGAGTCCAAAAATCTCATTTATGAGTCAAACTGTGTCTTAATTGATTATTGTCAAATGGCTTGATGACCTTCATTAAAAAGTGCACGTGAATCAGTTCGAGCCACTTACGACTTAAGCCACCAGATTGAGCAAGAATAACGCTGCTGCTAAAATATCGCTTACATAACTCTATGGCTGTATCATGTTTTCTCAGATATTGTAGCACGGACCAATGTATAGAGGGCCGAAACTAGAACTTTTAGTTTGGTGGGGGAGGGTGTTCAATAACGCTGGTACTGAAATATCGCTTACAGAACTCAATGGCTGTATCATGCTTTCTCAGATATTGTAGCACGGACCAATGTATAGAGGGCCGAAACTAGAACTTTTAGTTTGGTGGGGGAGGGGGTGTTCAATAACGCTGGTACTGAAATATCGCTTACAGAACTCAATGGCTGTATCATGCTTTCTCAGATATTGTAGCACGGACCACTGAATAGAGGGCCGAAACTAGAACTTTTAGTAGGGTGGGGGAGGGGGTGTTCAATCACGCTGCTACTGAAATATCGCTTACAGTATTCAATGGCTGTATCATGCTTTCTCAGATATTATAGCACGGACCACTGAATAGAGGTCCGAAACTAGAACTTTTATTGGGGTGGGGGAGGGGGTGTTCAATAACGCTGCTGCTGAAATATCGCTTACAGAACTCAACGGCTGTATCTTGCTTTCTCAGATATTGTAGCACGGACCACTGAATAGATGGCCGAAACTTGAACTTTTAGTGGGGTTGGGGGGAAGGTGTTCATTAACGCTGCTGCTGAAATATCGCTTACAGTACTCAATGGCTGTATCATGTTTTCTCAGATATTGTAGCACGGACCACTAAATAGAGGTCCGAAACTAGAACTTTTAGTGAGGTGGGGGAGGGGGTGTTCATTAACGCTGCTGCTGAAATATCACTTACAGTACTCAATGGCTGTATCATGCTTTCTAAGAGATTTTAGCACGGACCCTGAAGTGAGGGCCGAAACTAAAACTTTTCGTGGGGTGGGGGAGGGGTGTTTAATAACGCCGCTACTGAAATATCGCTTACAGAACTCAATAGCTGTATCATGTTTTCTCAGATATTGTAGCACTGACCACTGTACAGAGGGCCGAAACTATAACGCTTAGTTGGGTGGAGGAGGGGTGTTTTTATATCTTCAGTTGTGGTCGACTGATTCCTTGTAAAGGCAACGTAGTCTACATTAAACATAATTCAAATAGACAAATTGATCAATAAATAGACAGGCAGATAGATAGATATAAAATTAATCTGAAAATTTTATGTGAAAGCATGAAAATGATTTGCTCAATTCCTCTCTTTAGTTCTATTTATAATAGAGCTCCAAAGGAGCCTTGTATTGTACAAGAAAGTTGTTTAAATCATTAAAAGGTGATTGTGGTAGCCAAAGATAATTAAAACGTTCTGCATCATATATAAAATGCATCCAAATACAAAAACGATGTTACAGCATTTGAAGCCAGAAATTCGATCAATTGCTTGCATCTTTCGTGTTGCTTATCTTGTCAATATAGTATACTTTAACGCTACAACATCATGATTTCTTTTACATGTTTCGAAAACAGACAAGAATTTTATCAAATAGACTAAAAGATATGATAAGAATTTAAATCGCTTACTTCTCTCGTGGGGTTACTTTTTGATTGTTGGGTAATTTTCCACAGCCAAGATGTTATTACGGTTTGATCATAATTGATGACGAGACTTCGCGTTTTTCGTGAGAAAGAGCTCATTTCTACCAATGAAAACATTGCAAAAATCATACGGTCTGTGTTATCGTAAAATATTTATATAGGGTAAGAGTTTCCCAGGCTCTGTATCACTCCCTGCATCCTCGTCCGGTGCGATGTGTATTGACTTTACGTTTGCATTTTTCTTCTGATGATGTGTACTAAATCGGTGTTTCTTTACATGTTTTTTACTACATTTAGCTGATCTTAGATACACGGAACTAACAACAGAGGAAATCGAGAAAATTGGTCAGAAAGTTGGAACTGATTGGAATATACTGGGTGGTCTTCTAGAAATACCTTTTGAGCAACGTGATGAAATTACTGTTGACGACACAATTTATCCAAATCCCTCCGCAAGAGCTAAAGCGATTTTAGTCATTTTTAATGAAGGAAAGAAATTTGATCGATATGTATTGAAGATATGCCTTAAAGAAATAAAGCTTGATTTGGATGAAATTTTGTCTCCCACCAATCAGGTATATTTAATTAATATTATTTATTTACTCGCTTCTTGTTTTTAGACCAGTTACCGTTCTTTTCTGGAAAATCTGTCTTAAGTCTACTGTACTTCTAACAGTAGACTTTTAGAAAGATTTTCTCGAAAACAACGGAAGTTTAGTGAGTATGAACTCGAGAACCGTGAAACGGTTATGCTAAAGAATTTCTAAAAACTTTTCATTGAATTTTTCTTAATTTGGGATGGTCAACAATAAAATAGTAGACTACTTAAACGAAAAATGTTACCAAATTCGCAATTTTAAAAATTACACGCAAATTCAGATGTGGTAATATAATATAAGTTGGAAGTTAAGTAGTCTACATTTTTAAATATCTATTTTAATATCCATTATGTGGCTATCATCGTTTGTACCCTCTGATTGGTTGCATTATGATCATATGATTTTCATTTGGAGCAGATATGACAATCACTATGCATACTTGTACAATGCTTTTGAGTTTCATTGTTAATATCATTAAAATTTTTCTCAAACATAACGGAAGGCAATTCCATGAAATGTGTTGAGTAGCGAGCAGCATATACTGCTAACAACTTATATTACCTCGAAAAAATAGAAACAAGCTCAATCTGGATAAAATAGGACACCAAAAAAAAGGATAAAGCTCCTACACAGCAGTCAAAGCAATCAACGTTCTTCAAACAGTTAAAAATACGCTCCTAAAATCTGATTCAGACACGTACGAACTTGAAAAATAGTTATGATCAGATAATGTATTCCAGATAATGTATGCACGGAAAACGTTGTTTCTTTAAGGCAATTTAAACGGCGCGACATTAAAAATATCAACACCTCACTGGAAGTTCATCACCTCACGTGAATATCAACACCTCACGTGTTGAATATCAACACCTCACGTGTTAGTATAGTAGTAAGAAATTTACTTAGTAGTAGTTTGATATTAATAAAGTTAGTATTAGTTATAAATTTATTTCATTTATCTGGTGAATTGTGAATGTAGCTACATTTCAATGATCGATGTTTTAGTTTGATGGTAAAAGTCAAGCTTTTAAAAGAATAAAGTCATTTTCATCTTTGAATAAAGGTATGAAATTAACAATTATTGTTGCTTATAACGTTATGTCCTTTGCTAACCTCACGTATAGTAAAAGTCTGTGCTTGACATGCATAAAACATGATAGAAAGCACACTGTTTTATTCATTAAAAAAGCGGAATTAATGGTAATTAAAATAGTGGTTCTCATTTCTACAGTGGTAAAAAATCATGTGGGCTTAATAAAATTTTTAAAATCTATAAAAAGTTATGGTACATAAGAGTTTTAGTGTCACCACTAGCGCAGTAATTTACTGCGGCGATATTCATGTATGCATGCTTTGTTGTGTTTATATCCTATGAAATAATTTGTTTTATGCGAATTATGGCATTCATACGTGAATATGTGCTGACATTCCCACCCGCATTTATTGCAGCTAACGAAACAACAATTGATATTTTATTGTATTGAGATATGTGTGTTTATGTGTGACCCGGCCATTTCGTAAAATGTAACTTCACTGAACTAAAAAAGCAAGTGAGTCAAAAAGCGCATTCATTGAATTTAAGCCTACTGCGTAAAGGTGAGCATATTCTGGAAACAGTGAAATGGAATCGAAGGAGTTGAAGAATGTTAGTGTTATAAATTTTTTAGATACAAAGGCAGTGTCCTGTGAACTGGAAAAACTGGTCACTTCTGGTGGTGGCAATTTAATGATGGAGGACGTTATCTTTGATATTGGTCCTGGCTGTTTGGAAGACAGTACAATGATTAAGTTGGTCAAGGTTAGCAATCCAAGCTACATCAAAAGCTTGCTCGACTTGGAACTTTTTCAAAGTAACATATGTCATCTGCAATGTTTTCCTAACGGCCTACGTTTCTTAAAACCTGCTCAATTGCAACTTAATATCAATGGGGAGAGAGGATTCTCAGAATTAGCGTTGGAAAAGGTTGTTGCTCTTTATGGATCCTATTCGAATGATAAGCAAAAAGTTGAATGGCAACAGGTGGAAGACATTGATTTGAATAAATCAAGGATTTTGTTGAACATTTACAAGTTTTCTTGGTACAGCTTCATTACCGCTTCTCTTTCACGTATTCCTCGTATTTTATGTCATCTCAACCATTTTTTTCAAGTCTATGCCTATGTACTCCATCGAAGATCATCAAAAACTGGAAAATTAGATATTAAAGTAGTCTTTGTCAGCTCTTTCGTGCGTAAAAAGTTTGTGGGATTTCCAGTGTTGAAATTGGCCAATGATTGTGAAGACTTCCATGAAAATAATGATTATGATAAAAACACGAATAAAATCAACACTGATCGATATTATAAAATACAGCTAAAATTTGATGGAAAGGAGCTTGGCTCATACACTTTTAAAATAGATATTTCAAAGCTTGATAACGATGGTTTTGTTGTTGATCACTTTAGTGGAATTCAAGTAAATTTTCCTGCTAAAGGATATTTGGACGTGACTGAACTTGACTCCCAAAAAAGAGAAAAAGTTTTGAAGTGGAAACTGAATGTCGAAGAAAAGAACTCAACTGAATCGATGATTAATAACGGTATGAGAACTTGTCTTGTATAATATTTGTCTTCTCCGTGCACTTAATAAGCCCTTGCATGCACTAAAAGTTTTCATATGGCCATGTACAACTTGTAATCTGACATTTCTGGATTTATTATTTTTGTGTTCAATCAAACTTTACAAATAGCTTTATTATAAAGACGAAATACGTTGCCATTAAGAGACGGATATTGTGGCAAGAGTGTCTTGTCCATATGCAGTTTATAAGAGATTTGACTTGTCTCCAATCCCTGTGTCCTTGGTAGCACAAAAAGTCGAGCCAGTGAATATTATAAAAAAATTGGAATGATAGCTCTAATACAAAAGCCATATGATTGAATAAAGCCGATTTGGCAGCTATAAAGCCTAATTTTGTTAATATAAAACACGTTTGTGTTATGTTCATGGAAAAGTTTTCACAATTCATATGTTGAGTGAATTTTTGTCCTGAACACTGAGAAAAACAATGTTTTGCAACACTTTTTCTTTCGGCTTCGCTTTTTGCTTTCATAAAGAAGGCAGCATAGTTAGCCTTCCAAAAATACAGCTCCCAATGGTGCAAGCTTAAATCTCGTGTGATCACATGTTTTTTATGTACGTATAACCGCGTCAGAATTTATGTACTGATTTTCTGATGACGGGTTCGCAATCTACATTGGTAGAAAATTCAAATTTCAAATAAAAATTAAAAACTTGACTTGTATTTGTTATATATCTAATACTGCTAGATGCTTTTCATTAGGAATACATCCTAAATTTTTAATTACAATTACACGCTCAAGTGTTAATTATTATAGATAAGGATGATGATGACAAAAAACAGTAAAAGAAAGGAAATGAAACGTCAGATTTGTCAGAACAAAAGCGTCTGCTTTTGATGTTTCACATATGGATGCGGATGAAGCAAGAGAAGGTGAGAACAAAATTTTTTCGTACGATCTTAAGTGTTTGCTATACTGTAAATGCCAAGGAACATATATATTCAATGACAGGCGAAATGCTACAGCTTTCGTCGATTTCTGAAACCTTAATGTTACAAAAATTTAAAACAACACGACATTTCACTAGACAGTTCACGTGACTTGTTACAAGACAGACTTATACACTACCATGTTCTTTGATTATAAATTTCATAAAAATCGTTTCTAATGATAATTCATAATATTGCCAAGGAGTTTTCTTGAACTGACTAAGGCTCATATTGTTGCCTCTTAAGTAGTTTGGTAATGCATTCCTGATTCTAAGGCATCTCCTTAAATATGACTTTTGAAATGTGCTTTTTTTACAACGAGTTGTAACACAACACGATCGCATTTTTTTCTGGCTGCGAAGGTGAACATTCATATTTTCAGCTCTGCCCGACTTATTTCTTTCAAAAATATACAATCGCTTTCAAAATAAACCAGGCGAACAGAACTGAATATTTGACTAAATAGCTTCTCCTAAATAGCTTGGTAGTATTACCATAGACACTGGGTATTTTTGGCGAGCTTGTCATCGTGCGCTGAACATGTGATGACAGATCAAAAAGTCAATTTTTGTCGATATATTTCTGAAGTAAGCCCTTCTGATTTTATTTCAGATGTCCCTGGTTTTGCCTGAAGTGTGTTTAAAATCATAGCCGTATTTTTAGTTTTTATAATAGTATATTTACTTTTTAGTCTTTTGAGTTCGATATAAACAGGGACGAAATTTATGGGGAACTAACCCCAAAATGTTAACGTTGCAGGGCAACGATTGAATTTGCAGGGCTAATTACAAAACTAAACACTAGGATACGTGCGAACAGTTATCCACATAATTTGAAAATATAGTTCAGTTTTATTTAAGCTGGATTTGCACTTCATGGGTAAGAACGGAAAACGGTAAACGGTAAACGGTGCGCATCAAGGAAACTTTCCGTTTATAAATTTCCTCTTGTTTTGGCGGACATTTTAAAAGCAGATATGCATCATCATCCCTAAACTTAGAACAAAAACATTAATGATGCTTTTGCTGTTGAGACGAATGCAACCGCAAAAGCAGGAAACAAAGTAAAAAGGAGAGTTATACCTTCTTGTAGAAGAAACGAGACTAATAGACAGGGAATACTATATCAAATACTTCAGGTTGTCCGTATCGCAATTCGAAGAACTTTTACAGCTTGTTGCTCCAAAAATTACCAAGTGTAGTGAATTACCATCGCTCTTTTGTTTGCTTTTAAGAAGTGTTTGTAAGTAATATTATTGAAGTTTTTATATCTTAAGTGTAAACACTATACTATATTTTTACATCAGTAAACACAAACACTAAGGTAAACTTTTGTTGATTTAAATTGATTGAAGCTTTTTAGTAGTTAATGTTTGTATAGTTTATTTTACGAACAAGGAAAGTCAAGGATGAATGGTAAGTAATAGCAATTATTTAAACAAAAAACCCGAAATCAACAAATGTGTAAATGTGATAGGTATTTATTGTGATTATAACAGAAAATTCTAAAGTTATTAAGAACAAGAGAAAACGGCCGTATCGGTAAAAAATTAAGTGTTCTGCATGTAATAAAGAAATGTTCAATTATAATTTTTCTAAACATAATAATTCCACTTGCAAAGGAAAGGGCAAAATTATCAACATCGTTGATCCGTCACAAAAAAGACTCGCATTTGCGTCGTGCAATGTAAGTTAAAATTTGTTTTGAAATTCATAAAAGTACAGTAACAAAGGACTTGTTTTATAAAGTTTGTTTTAAAATAATGTTTAGAAAAGTACGACGTCTTTAGAGTCAAGCAGCACCAGCCTTAACGAGATAAATGAAACAGCTGTCGTTGTGTATGAAGAAAAAAACAAAGAGGAGTTGGAGTTATGTGCTGTTTCAGAAAATCCGTTTACTATTGAAGACAAGTCGTCTGGTACACATGAAATAGCAGAATTTGAGGCAATGGTAGATAATAATATAAACGAAGAAGTTGAACTTTGTGTGGCTATTGAAGAGCCATTATTTGTTGACGACGACATTTCTGTTAACATTCACGCAGCGAGATGTGGAGCAGTAGAAAATAGTTGTTTGCTGAGTGATGATAGTTCAAATGAAGAGGTAGACGTTAAGATTAAATCATGTAATACTTATTTCATTGGACTTTTGATTGTTCAGAATAAAAAATACAAATCTTTTTTAATACGAATCTTTCAATTGTCATTTATTCATCTGTTAAAAGCAGATTTTTGTATTTAATTTACTGGATGTGTCCTTTTTACAATGTCTTTATACGTTTAGGCTGCACAAAGTGAAAAGTCATCAAACTGTGATTCAGATAACCAAGAAGATATTACATGGATCACTTGTGCAGGACAGTTAAGAGTTCTATCACAACTTTTTCATCAGTGTGAGAATATTCTTAATGAAGTGATAATAGATGATGATAGACACGTAAACGCGAAGTGCTTTTTAGAAAAAGTGAAGCACATAGCAAAAATAGAAGATTTGTCTGTGAAACTGGTAAAAAATTGTTCAATTGTCATCAACAAAGCACAGCGAGATGAAATTGAAATTGGTTGCCTAGTTTTAGAGGAAAGCACAAAATTACTTCTCGTGATCCAAGCGAAAGGCCACGAGATATGAATTACGATCAAAGAAAGTTTCTCATGCAACAAGGACCCTGTCAACCTAGATTGAAGTCTTTTCCTGTATCAAACAAAAGCCAAAAATAAAACTAACAAATTTAATGCATCCTGGTACGACTCTTTCCCTCATCTTGAGTACAGCCAGAAGGAAAATAAAGCATATTGCTTTGTATGCTCATTATTTCCAAGTTGGCCAGGACGAGAAAAAAGTGATCCAGCATAGATAAATGGTGTAAGATCATGGAAGAAAATGAGGAGCGTTGGTGCAAACAAGAAAGAAAAACTTCATAAACACTTCAGTAGCAAGTCCCATGAAGCTGCTCTGGCTGATTTTGTTCGTTTCTAAATAACATCTGGCCATATTGATGTGATGATGAATGCGAAAATGAAGGAAGTATTGATCAAGAGAAAGCAGATGAAGGAAAGAACAAGGAAACTATGTTGATTCTACTTGATGTGGCTCGCACTCTGGCAAGGCAGTCATTGGCATTCAGAGGAGGAAGCGATGAAAAGGACGGAAATTTCATTCAGATTGTAAATCTTCTCTCAAGACATTGTCCTGTTCTCAAGCTGTGGCTGGATGATCAGCACCTCAGGCCATACAGTAGAACATATACAAGCTCAGAGGCACAAAATGAGATGCTTCATTTGCTGGCTCAATCTGTGAGGGATGAAATTCGAACTGAAATTAAGTCAGCCGGTGTATACAGACACTACACCTGATACATCGAATCAAAACAAGCTTATCGTTGCTGTAAGATATGTCAACCAGATGAGCATTCCATGCGAGAGACTGGTTCAAATGAAAGAGACCCTTGATAAAACTGGTGCTGAAACGGCTAAAGATATCATAAAATCTTTAATGGAAATGAAATCGATATAGATATGCTTGCATTTCAAACATACGATTTCACAACATCAATGTCTGGACGACTAAATGGTGCTGAAAAAGTGTTGCAAGAAATTTTAAAACGACAAGTGCCTTACATCCCTTGCCAAGGACATCGGTCTAATACATTCAACGAGCATTGTTGAAAACATAGCTCAATAATTACATCAATGCACGACGTTCTAGAAGACGTATATATGTTTTTTAGCAAAAGCACAAAAAGAAATAAAATTAAAGAAGAAAGTTGCAAAGATTTTGAAAACAATTTAAAGTTTCGAAACTTGTTAATGACGAGATGGGTTTACAATTCTGAGTCCATTAATGCTGTCTGGAGAAGTTATGAGGTAATACCAAATGCTATTGTGAAAGTTATTAATGCTCGAGATGTAGAATCAAAAGTAAAAGCTAAAGGCGATGGAATAAAAAGAAATTTCTTAGTTTCTACTTTTTGCTCTTATGTTCATGCGAATCATAATGACAAAAACCAAAATCCTAACCAAACAACTGCAGGAGGAGGAGCTAAATATAATAGATGCACTTAACCTGATTGATGCTACAGTAAAAAACCTTAGACAAACTCAAAGTGACGAGAACAGATTAGACTAGGAGATAGAGGCAATGGTTGCATTTGGAGCCAAAGTAGGAATAGACGTAATGGCAGAATACACTCGTCATCATCGATCAAGAGAGCCACCCAAACGAAATGGCGAGCATTCCGAAATAACAGCAGAAATATCATTTAAAGATTTCTACCGAAAGGAAATGTACTTGGTTCTAGACTCACTTATTACCGAGTATACCAATAACATTAAAGATTGCATCCACAAAATAAAACCTCTTGGAGAGAGCTTACAGCTGCCGCTAGAAAGGTCGATGGCTGAAACAGTTAATGAAATGTGTCGTCTTTTTCCACCGGCGGTAAAAGATGTTGATGCAGAAATACTGCTGTCTGTGTTGGAAATTTTCAATATTATTGTGTCATCACAACTTAAATCAGAACCCAAATCCCTTCAAGACGTTGCGTTATTTATTTTAAAACACAAAAACGTCTTTCCAACGGTGTGCAAGGCGTATCAACTATTGCTGACCGCTCCAGTGTCCGTGGCAATTGATGAAATGTGTTTCAGCAAGCTTAAGTTGTCAAAAACTGCCTGAGATCCACAATGAAAGATACGCGATTAAATGACTTAATCGTTCCTGCATGTGAAAAAGATCTTACGGACAATGTTGACTTAAATATTATTTTAAAAAATTGGGCAACTGCAAAGATGCGAAAACTGCCATTAAAGATTTAATAGTACGCTAAAAAATATGTAGTGTAAGTACTGTCCCATATGATCTGCAGAGCATCTTGTGTCCTTGCAGGAAATTTCATCCCCAGCCCCCCCCATTAAAAAGGTGCTAGTTTCGCCCCTGGTTATAAACCAATGCTTCGCAGATTTCTGGGAACAGATAGCAACGACATTACTTTAGCAATTTTATTTTCTGCAAAGTTTTATAAAAGCTGGACAATTTCCTTCTTGTATGAATTAGCTGCAAAACTTGCATTTGGATTTGCATTCTGCAGAGTTCAAATGCCTAGACTTTCTCTTAATGGAAGATTCCTTCAATTTTTTTGTTACATAACGATTTACTTCGAATTGATTGACTTCTTGCAAAAGTGCGAAGTTTTCATACTTTCCACGTTTTTTTGTCTTCACTTTTAATGTTATCCCCTTTCGCGTATTTGATTTTGTAACGGTAAAGAAAAAGTTAAAGGGCTTATGTTCTAATTTTTTGTGATAGCAACTTACATTTTTAATATTTACCATTTTTTCTTTTTCTACAGAGAGTTTGAACAATAAATAGCTATAACGAAGGACAGTTTCAACACGGACATTGTGTAATAAATTTATAATAGCTACAAACAAACTGAAAACATTTAAAACTGTAACTGTCTTTCAATTCTGAAATATTTTTAACTTATAAAATTAGCGGATGATTTTTTGGATTTAAATTGAAATGTACAATTTAGTGTGACAAAATATTTAGCGTATTTTTTAACGTTATTGATTTGCGAAATGTTCGGTATCTTGAAAATAGTCTATCTTTTACAATTTTAGCAATATTTCACAGTCCAGTTTTAAAAATTGTAGATAATAATAACCATCATAACGACGAAAGTAAAACAAAGGGGAATGAAACGGCAAATTTCTCAGAGCAAAACAAGTTTGTTTTTGATATTTCACATAAGGATGTGGATAAGCTAAAGCAAGGTAAGACAAAATTCTTTGAGTGTTGTAGTGTTCTTGACTCTGTTTGGTTCGCATTGACTTGTTTCAATTTGTGAGAACAAGTCGCATACGGTTATACAGTTTTGGAACTGCATTGTAGAGTAACCAGAGTTCTCAAACTGTTACAAGAAAAGTAGTTTTGTAAATAATTCATGTGGTTCATTACTCACGACACAGCTGGTACTTGTTTGTGAGAATTTAATATTTCAAATTGCTTTTTTTATATTATTTGTGATTGTTTTACAGAATTAGTATGTATTTTCTGATTTTTAGGTGATCTAAGTAGCTTTCGTAGAAATGCTGTGGAGAAATTTATAACTGCAGATGGTGGTGTTGTACAATTGGATGACATTGAGCTGACTATTGATACAAATTGTGTAGCTGAACCAACGATGATAAAGTTGATTAAAGAGAAAGGTGGTGTTTCTTTCTGGAATATGCCGCTGCATTTGAACAACGAAAAATACCTGAAAGTTCTTTGTTCTCTGAAATGTCTTCCAAAGGGCATAATATTTCACAGTCCTGCTATTTTGAGCGTACGTGTTCATGAGACCGCATTGGTTGTGGAGAAAACTTACGTTTTTTGTGGCTCGTACATGGACGAGGTAGAGTCCATTACTTGGAACATAACAAGTGATGTCAACTTTGATGTCGTAAGAAACTTGATCATCATAAATATTCCAGAAAGTGCTCTCTACATTTACCTTACTGGAAAGTCTTTGGACGAACATCGAGTCCTCAGTCATTTGAATCATTCTTTCAAGTGCCGTGTTTTTGTATTTCATCGAAGGTTGCCACAGTTAGAAAACAAAGTATTTGATCTATCTGTCGTATTCATCAGTGAATACACGAGAAACGATAGACAGTTTACTGATCATTTGGAAGGGGGCTACACTAAAGGAGTCGAAGGAAATTTGGAGATTATTAAGACAGATCGAAAACATAATTTAAATTTGGAATTTTTCGGAGATTTTCCTAAAAAGTTCTCACCTTTTAGGATTGAATTTAACGAGAAAGATCTTGACAACGAAGGTCACGTAATTCATCATTTTATGGGATGTAAAATACCATACCCAGCCAATGGATGGATGAAAATAACTGAAGCTGATGAACTACTCTGTGGTAATGATAAAATACTATGGACTCTTCAGGTTCATGAAGGCCAGCAGATTGGGAATTTAAAAGGTAAAAGAGATTTCATTTTTTGTTCCTAACACAATGTAACATAATGTTCAACATGCTTTTCTGGTAAAAAACCTAATAAAGGTATGAGAAAAGAGAAATAATCAATTTTTGAGTGACACGGTTTAGAACTTTCGTAGAGTTTTGTTCATTAATAAGACATTATTAGTCTGTAGAAGTTTTTGACATATGATATTAATGTTTTGTAACATATGATATAACACATGACAAAATAACGTTTAAAATGATTGGAATTTTTAGCCATTTAAGGATTGAGAATATGCCAGCAATATTTAATATTTTATTAGTTGTAGGTGTTGCTTCTAGGTGTTAAGTTCACATTTGCAATTCCAAATTTTTGTTGTTGCAAGATTAACTATGCATCTTATTACATACAACTCTACGCTTAAGTTTTTGTGGTGATAATATGTAAAAGGTTTGTGTTTATATATGTATGTTGATTGTTGATCCATTTCAGTTGATCTTCGTTACACTAAACTATCATCAGAGGAAATTGAAAAAATTAGTCAGAAAGTTGCAACTGATTGGAATGAACTGGGTGGTCTTTTTGAAATACCTTTTAAACTACGTGATGAAATTACTGTTAACCACAATAGTTATCCAAATTCCTCCGCAAAGGCTAAAAAGATTCTGGAGATCTTTAATGAACGAACAAATTTCGATCGACATTTATTGAAGAAATATCTTGGAGAAATAAATCTTGATTTGGATGAAATTTTGTCTCTCACAAAACAGGTATTTTTTCAATATTTCGGAACATACATCTTGTTTTTTGCCAAGAATTTCTCCACACTTACTTTTATAGTCATAAAACTTATAATGCAGTAGCTAGATTGTAGCTAAAACGAGTTATGAAATAAAGAATTGACCGGAATTTTTTATAACGCAACTTCCGCTTTCACTGTAGTTTTATTGTTGACATACTTTTAACAGTTGATTCATAGTCTGTTCGATAGTTCGACCTCTTGCCAAACTAAGCCGTTGTGCGATTGTACGAAAGTGATTTTACTTCAATTTAGCATTCTTTCTGTTTAAAGAGAAATTTTCAGGCTAAGAACTAAAAATTATCGTACGATAATTGTCATTTTTGTGTTTGCCTTTGCGAGTATTGTGGTCTGGTATTTTACATACTCAACTGTCCTATGTACCAAAACATTCCAGCTTGCAAGTGTTCTATAAATGTACGTTTTTGAACTTGTTTTATCCGCGACTCGTCATTTTAATTCAGTAGCTAAAATACGAACTAAGTCAGAATAGTATATGAAAATTTGCAATCCTTTCCATTCAAACATTTTATAGAATAGCAGAAATGACGATGTTTTAACTACACTTGAAGTATTTCAACTGAGTCGACGTATAGCAAGTAGCTGGTATAAAATGGCTGCCTTCATGAATTTGGAAAGTTATGAAATTGAGAACGTGCAATTAAACACGAATTATGGAAATGAACAAATAAAGGCAGAGAAGATTCTGTCAATACTGTCCAACAAGTGGAAAACTGGATTTCGGAGCAAACTTGTGGAAACCTTAAAAAGCATGAACGAACTTTATTTGGCTGATTCCATTGAGAATTACGAGTTTAAAAAGCTGCAGTGCAAGTGAAGATTTTTCTTTTAAGTGTAAAAACTCAAATGTTTTAATGAGAACATTGAGAGACTAAGTTCATAGTAAAATTAGCACCGTGTATTGCACAATATGTAGCTATGTGAACAAATTTATATAATCGTATCAACACAATAAAAACATTTTAGTTATAGTATCAACATATTGATTAGTTTTACGATTTCTCGCTAAATTGCTTCATGTCATGTCTTTGCAGTACTCAATAGCAAAGCAAGTCCGTTTTGTCTCCTACAATGGAAATACTTGTAAGGTTAGTCACTGGGAAATTAAAGAAAGCATGAATTTTCTTAAGAATTGACTTTTAATTTTACTGAAAGTTTACATTGTAGGAGTAAATGTGTGGGCTAGTGTTGCTACTAGCTATTCTTTATATATATTTCCTAGTATTGAACTAGTACATTGCTATAAAAGTCATAAAGGACAATGTCGTTTACACAATATAAAAATTTTGATCATATTTTTTGAGATGACGAAATATTCTTTTAAGCATGATTGGCCATTGGCCACGGCGACATATAAGGCACAATCCCAAAGCCAAGAAAAGTCAATCTGAAAAGGGCTGACTTCAAAGGATAAAGTCTTTTCAAATATATTGTTTTAACGGATTTTAACATGAACATATCACATAGTGGAATTGGAAGCTATGAGTGTATGGATCTGCAGACACACACAGAGTGTGCAAGTTCTTGCTTGAACGCTTATGTTATGAATTCCAAGTTTTTACAGGTATAGCCAAATTTTCAACTTAAGAAACGGACCTATCACACTGACATGGTGCAGTTCAATGAAATACCACTGTTACATTCCGTCATTTAACAGCTTCTTTTAAATACAATTATATTTTATAGCCAGCCAAAACATCTTTGAATGTGAAGTTGGAAGGTTCAATAAAAAATTGGGATGAAGTTGTCTTAAAAGTAATCTCGAAAAGTGTAAATTAAATACAAACAAGGGCAGTTATCTTCCTGCCTTTTATAGTAGCTAATCACATGTAGAGTGTACCATTTACAATTTGTATTCAGTTTCAAGCAAGATAGGTCAAAGAAGCCTGAGTTCTGACAACCAGCCACAAAATTGCTGAAAAGGGATGTTTCCAGCTTCTTTCCATATCTTACCATGTTCAGCCTTATAAATAACCTATTTTCCAAAAGTTTCATGGTGGTATCATATTTTGTGTAATCTTGTAACAAGCTCCCTTATGTGAGTAAGGTGCTGGGTAATTGTATTGTTTTCCGTTAAAAAGTTTTCATTTTGATTTCTAAGTATAAGCTCTTTAAATCTTGCAACTTTACACGTAAATAGTTTATAAAAAAGGAGGTTATAAGTTTTTTTAGTCATTTTATAAGCCATTATTAAAATATCTGCACACGACAGTGAAAGTTATAAGAGGGTTTCATCATTTGGCAATGTCGATATGCAGTAACACTTTCATTAACAAGCTATGAAATTGTGTAAATTCAGACTTAGATATTCCACTGGAAATTAGGTATTTTGTTCAATTACAGGGTTAAATGCGTTGGTCAACATCCTCACCAAGATCCTCCACACAGACAATAGGCTGCTTTATTACCTTACCCCACCCCCACCCCACAGCAATCTTTGGTGTTGTAAACAGTGACGAAATACAATTAAATAGCTCATCAACAATACAGAGGATTAAAAAAAACATGAAAAGCAAAGGTATCAAGGTGCAAGGGATCATGAATTTTTTTTCAAATTTTTTATTATCGTTCGAGTCGTTTGTAGTCAAATACTACCAAAACAACCTTAGCATTCTTAACAACCACTTTACAACAACCATCAATTTTCAACACCACCCAGTTAAGAACTACTTTCAGATATAACATATACAGCAGGTACTTTACATACACATTGAATAGTCAACAAATAATCTTGAATCACTCACTAGCGTTCTCTCCATGGAGAAATCAGAATATGTGACTTCCATCCACAATAACGATTCATGGGAACCAGCAGAGAAAAATAGACCCATTTTTCATTGCTCCGTCTTATCATGATTTCATGATTATACAACTAACCTCTTTAGCTCTTCCAAATTTTGTTTCTTCACAATGCTCATGTCATTATCTCTCCTTCATATTTCTC